AACCATTTTCAATTCATATCTTCCAAGGTTGCTAAACCTAGCTGATGGTGTCACACAGCATAGTGACACCATATTAGAAGCATTATTTTAAATACATATAATACCAAACTTTATTTAAAAGATTAGGCATTGAATACTATTGTGATAATCTCAGTACTAGTCTTGCACTTTTCTCTGCACAACCCTGTGCAGCCTGGCTTGGACCAATCTCCGAGGAAAACTATGAGGAACTTTTATGCCAAAACCAGCAGTTTCTTCAACTACATAAATGCCATAGTACTCATGTTATAAACTGTTAGCTGTTTGTTTCACAAATATCTGCACCTGCCACACTACTTCTAGTTTGTCTGCTGCCATCATTTGATCCTCATACTGCTCCTTTTCTTCTTGCAACTCCTACTCTGCTACCGTGAAGCAGCAGTAACATAGCTGCACCCTTGCGGTCACACACCTGGCACATGCTGGCTGGTTCCTAGGATCCCTTCAGAGCCACCAAAAGCTTTCTACCCTGTCTCCTCCCCACACGAGAGCATGCTTACTGCTTCCATCCCAACAGCTCCAGAAAACCATCTGAAAAGAGCACTGGGCATATTTTTTTGTAATGAGAGCTTACAGTATACAATCTGAAGCACAGCACAGTATCCCAGTTGCCCAGAGTTATGGTTGAGGAGGGCACACGGAAGCAGGCGGGGAGACAGGCTTCACACATCAACCGCAAGCACATTCAGACATGCAGCCCAGACCAAGGCAGACCTTAGCTGCAGGCTCCAGTCCTACACCGCTGCTTACCTAGTGTAACACAGAGATTGGCTATCAGGAATAACTGCCCTAAGTAGACATTAATGATTTTGGGAGCGGAAAGCTTATTCTTCAGGAACGAATTGAGGCCTCTTAATGCCTTCAGTAGCTTTTACTAGTTACTACTAAGGTGCGGTAACAGGAATATTTTGTAGGTCAAGGTTCCTTTCCAAACTAAATTACATCCAATAGCTTATTTTAAAATGATACTGATAGTAAAATAAATGGTACAAACACTCATCTTCCTCACTCAGTAAATTAAAACTCCATTTTAGAAAAAATTATATAATAAAAACATACACATACACAGGGGCCTAACACTATTCAGCTCCCACTCCCAACGTGGTTAGACTTCGTGGTCTATAGGTGCATTTCCAGGGTTACCAAAAGGCGTTTGACAATTGATCTCTCTAACTGGGACCACTTGAGATAGAATAGCTTGGACCGCATTTCTTTTCATTGTGATCACTTTTTTTTAATTTCTCCTACTTACTAAATTTAATGTGTAATTAATGATCACAGGAAAAAGCTCTTTTAAAAAAGTATCAACTACTTTATTTATTGTCTTCTCAAAAGAAGTGTTCTTCTTTGCCTCATGGCTCATTAGCTGTTGTTTAAAGTTACCAGAGAAAACTTTTTTTTCTTTTTTAGGCAAATTATCTTGTCTTGTTTCATATATCTTTCACTTCTGACTCGGTTATTCCCAAATAATTATGAGTAGTTTAATAAGCTCATCCTCCTTTTCTTCCAGACAAAAAAAATAAAAAACCCTCCTATGTAGGATTCTTACTTGTTATGACAAAAGAACAAAGCAATCTGCAATCTTCCATTTGAAAATGATTATGTTTGAACATGCTTTCCGGCTTACATTCTGGCAAACTACCAATTTTCCTGTTTTCCACCTAGGTAACTAATTTTAAATGAAGCATTAATTTTGTTTTCTGTGCTTCACTGATATCAGAGACCCTTTTTCTGCCAATTCATATTACTTCATTTTATTTTACACTTCCTTTTCTTTAGATGGGCAACAGAAATGGTCAGCATCTGTAAAGTGACAAATACCTTTATTTCATATGAAAAAGTTTTGGTGAATACAGAAAAGTAGTCTTTCTGTAAACTCTGTCTTTTTTTTTAGAAATGTGCCTGATCCCTCAACTGCTTTTTTATTTAACACCTATTATGATTTGAGTCATTTATATTTCCCCCTGCATCTTAATTTACACAATTATTCATTAACTGGACAGCTCAAGTAATTATTTTTGTTCACCTTCATTTCTAAGAAAGTATGGATTGTGCATGATATTATTTAAAAAAGCAAACTGCTTTATACAATAAGAACAAAAACTCTGGAGCAACATAAGGTGAGAAGTAATATTTTGTGACCTCTCTTTATTCTTCCAGATTCTAATTCAGAAAAGGATTTAGGTGTTTTGCACTTAATTTCTTTGATGAATCATGGTTCTACTGCCTTAATTCCTGTGTTTTGAAGAATATATTATTGACAACATGTTATCTAGTCAAAATGTTCAGTATTATATATTTTAATATACTTATTATAATATCATAACACTCATTATGTCTTTTCCATTGTGATTTTATTAGCACAAATACTTATGGCATGTAAATTATTTCATTTCAATAGCTATAACTGCAATATTTTTGTTCCGTGAATTTTGTCTTTTCTAACATTGCCAATCTGGATTAAAGTAGTTGTCTTCTTTGGACGTGATTGGAATTGATTTAGCTATTATTTGGAGTAAAAATCTAGTCTGTTAACAGCACCACTCTATGATTCCACATATATTACGATTTTTCTAATGCATTTTGTTGGTAAGACAAGAATCCTTCACCACAATAAAAGAGTAATTGAGAATAGAGCAGCAAACCCTTAATTCCATACCTTTTATTAATACAAACCAACCCAGTAAAAATAATGACCTACTCAGAGGGGTGTCTGTAGACACAGTCTTAATACTCTGGAGAGGTTTCTATCAAATCTGTCCTCTACTGAATGCATCTTGGTTTAAATGCTCTTCAATTTTTTTTTAACTAAGCCAGTTTTCCCTGTGCAAAAAGAAGAAAATGAAGTTCAACACCATATGAAAAAAACTTAAAAAAAAGACTGCAAGTCAGTTTAAACTTTGTTCGAGAGTTAATTGCATGAGTAAAAAATCACCTGAACTTTGTTCATGTCAAACTACCGTTTTACTTTTTTTTGTTGTTGTTATTTTCTTTGGCTAGGAGAACAAAGATATCGGTACTCTTCCAAAAGAAAAGCAAATACAGGGATTATTAACAGCCAGCTAAGAGTTCATATTCCTTGGCAAATGATATTAGCATTAATATTTTATAAACTGTGGATCCATGTGTTGGGGGGGGGAGGCAAAATCAACATTAGAAAATCCTTATTCTACTCACTGTTGGCTTAACACACAAGACAGTCAGCGAGCTTTACTATCAATTTGTTGTAAAAGCCTGACTCCCCTGATGTAGTCCTTCTACAGGGCTGCAGCTTCACTGCTGGTTCCATGGCTGATCACAGGGTGGCCAGATGCAGGAACGCAGATTTTAAGTCCCTTTGCAGACATTAGAAAATCATCCAATTTATCCATAAAATATGGCAAAATATACAAACTTACTTAATGTTTTGAACTCTCAGAGATTATTTCTTAAAGTTATAATTTAGTATCTGGACTGAGTGGACCTAATTTCTTAATGTAGTTTGTTTAATTCAGTGTTCATAATGTATAGTAAACGGTGCTTTGTATAGTATTTATTAACGTGGATGAAGAAACTTGTTTTTGTTTTTCACTTATAATTCAGGCAGAAGAGGAAAGAAGCGCTAACACTAATCAGTTGGAAAGAATTCTGCTGGCATACATACCTATAGAATCAGCAAAATGCAAGCTGAAATTATTTGTATCATCTCTTGAAGAATTAGCAAATTATTACATCCTTTTCCCCTCTTCAAATTCCCAACCAATATATCATGCCTAGAAAATATTTGCATTTCAATCTGCTATTTTACTTTGAAAGTGTGGTGCTTCCCTAAGTTTAAGTCTATATGATTTAATATGAATTCTATTAATTAAACTCTACCTGAAAAACAGTGCTACTTCACAAAACAAAACAGGAAATTGATTTTAATCTGAGCAGCACTGAAACATAGAAATATATGATTTAACATCTTCTCAGACCACTAATCTTGCAAAAGCTTGGTATTTCTTATGAACAACCCGCTTAGCAATGATACTTCAGAGGAAAGCAAAATAAAACCAATCTGTAATGCTCTCAGTCCAAAACTAGATATCGAAATTGTCATACTTTCTTGAAAAAGTCTGATTTTTTCTTAAAATAGATTGCTCAGTTTTAATGAGTGGGGTACTACTTGTGGAGAAACTGTTGAAAGCCCACAAAGCTCCTAAAGATATAGGTAAGTCTTCTTTATTGTTCTATACATCCACATGAAATATATAATGGAAAGAGACAACTAAAAGCACAGAATCATGTTGTACTATTAAAACAGATTTATTGTTCCAATTTTTTAAACAATCATGAAGCTTAACATGACACAGAAAGGGTGATAGACACAGCTTTTGTGATTAAAAGGTATTTCTGGACATCATCATCATTGCTTTAGGAATTCTGAAATTGAAGAATTCTGTTATTCAACTATTTTCAGTAGTGGATTAAGGTTTTTATACAGCTTTTTATTAATTCAGAAGAAGCACAACTTATTTTGCCTAAGGAGTAATCGCCCAAGGAACATAGCAATTAAAATAAAAGCTTCCAAGGCATCACAACCAAGGGCAACATGCGATTCTACCAAATATATCTATCTCGTGGCATATGACTGTGAAAGAGCTTTTGCTGAAAAAGTATAATTTTTTGTTTTGGCACAGTAGTAGACTAAAGAAAATAAAGAAGAAAAGAATTACTTGTTCCACAACTTTGGTAGTCTTCTGGCTAATTTCCAACCAACTGGCTTGAAGCTGAAATTCTTATGCATAAAAATGCACTGAGAGCCTCCTTTTGCAAGAGAAAAAGAAAGAGACCATCCCCACTTTATTTCTTCACTATCACTCAGGGTAAAAGCATAAGGAATTCACTGAAGCTGACATTCCTTAGAGAATATTTCCTAAAACTGTAAGGTGATCTTGGGTGGCCCATGCCTTCCATGCCTCTGCATTGAAACTGGAGCGCTATATATTGCTCACTTATTGCCTATCATTTTCGTAGCTGAAATATTAAGCTGCCCAGGGATTTTTTTCAGTTTGCTATCTCCAGGCCATTGGCTTCACACTGTCCATTCAACTCAGAGTCCCTGCAGAAACACTAAAAATCAGCTCAAGTAAATATCTGTAGAGCAGGGAACAGAAATAAATGTTTTCTATGCATGTCTAGTAAATGTGGCAAGACAAAAGAAAATTTCATTTGGTTCTGTTTCCTTGCAAAATGTGTATTTCAGTGAAGAAGCTGTATTTTTCCTTCTGAGTGTTCATCTTGTCCCCTTGCCACGTCTTTGAGGCAGACACATGGGAAAAAATGGTGCTGATGAGAGTGGATCAACCGTTCAAGACGCGTGATGATTTCATAGTCAGGAAGAGCTAGGCTACTAATATCGAGGCCCAGCATCCGTGAGACCACCTCTCGGAAGTCTGTCAACTGCAAGAGCAAACAAAAAAGAACTATTAATAAGTTAAATATCAAGCAAAAGAAATGCCTGGAAAAACATATACACGCACTCATACATACAGATACAAGCATTTGTATTAGCAGCACAAAATATAAGGATTTCTGCCATTGCTTAATACTGAAGAGGACGGAGACAGAGCCTTTTGGGGCATACTTCAAACAACAAAGCAAGTAAAAAGCTGGGATGGTAAGGATTTTGGAATTTTTCCTCACAATTTGAAATGTTCCTCAGTATTCATCACAAGCAGACCTTTCCACCCGAGTTAACAGTGAAAGCTGAGGAGAAGATGGGAAGTGGAGTTGTACTTGACTTGGACGTCTGCCAACTATATAGACAACTGGAAACACTGGCAGGCACATGCTAAGGTGCTCGTCCTGACCGCTGCCTGCCACGGCTCCCCTTGAACCTACACTTGCTCAGGGAAACCAAGGCAGGAGGAGGAAGTGAGAGGAAAGGTGGGGGGATGGCACATCCCTGGGTCTTCCTTTGACTTGGAATCAGGATGCAGCCAAGATTCAGACAAGAATCTCAGAAACACTCATTTTGCTTCTATGAGGAGCTGCTGAAAATATATTATATGAAGGTTATTTGGCAAAGTGCTTAAAGAAACCATTTTTCTCTTTGAAATTCCAAATGGGCAGACATCCACAAATAATTGCCATCACTAGTCACCCTGCCAGTAACTAGATTAAAAACTTGAGACAAGATGAACATGAACCTTAATCTGCTCTCCTCAGCCCAAGATGTAGGTCCTGTCAGTTAAATTTAAATACATCCTAAATGAATAATGCATTACACTGCCCAAACAACCAATGCCTTAATGCTCCTTATCACCAGCACATAGTTAAAACAGGAAAAGGTTCCTATTAAATAAAATTGTCTTGTGCTGCTACCTATTTGTACTTCAAGGTCTCATATCCCAAGCCTGACAGAGATCGCACACTAACAGAAACTTCACAAACCATCAAGAAGCCAGACTCACGTTCTGGTGTGGTAGCACTCACTGCACTCAACGCTGACAGTTATGGGTAAGGAGGAGTAAGAACAGAGATAAAGCACCCCTAAAATACATGGTCATCCCCAAGAACACTGTGCAGAATTCCAAGGCAATTATATCATATTGCAAGCAAGTAGCAAAAACCTCTACAACATGAAGGCCAGATCCTGAAGCAAGATCCTGAAGCAAGGTCCCAATGCCAAGACTTTGTCAGAGACAGTTTGCTTTACCCCAGTATGAAATCTAATACCAGTTCAGAAAAAGAAATACGGAAACCAAAACAGTATTTGGCACTGAAGGAGTTTGAGAATTCAGCCCCAGCTCTTTGTCTTATTAAGCCAGCACAATGCCTTGGATGAAATGCTGTAACACAGTGTAACACCAAAAAATCCAAGTTCCCATATATTCTCTTCAGTGCCAGCACCAAGCCTGTAGATGCTGGCGTGACGCTCTGGCAGTATGCCTGTAGCCTGATGTGATGCTCTGGCAGTATGCTAGAAAAGTACAACGTAGTGGAAGCTAAAGTTTTTTTAAACATCTGGATTACAGACAGATTGAACAGGCAGGAGACCTGGAATTTGTTTACATGCATCTTTTATGTTAAAAAAACCCAACAACCCCAACAAGGCACTCCACTTGTAAAGATCCAGTCTTTGGATTCATTAGACTCCCATAAGGTGTCTGTCTGTCCGGTTAACCAAACTGATACCTTATCTTTGCTATTCTCGGCTCTTCAACTTAATTAGGGCAATGGTGAGTATACCCAGCTGAACTACAGTCATATTTTTATGTGATGTACTGACACTGATTAATGAGTTGGCAGAATTTTGCCAGAGGGAATAGATGCAAATCAAAAGATACATGGAATCATCTCACTCCACTTCTCACAGAAAGAGCAGGTCATAGCTATATTGACTGGACAATAAATATTTTCAATATATGAATATATAATATAAATATATTCAGTAATATTCATCAGCAAGTAGCCTAAATGGGAAAATGCACACAGCCCTTAAAGAAATCCGTTAAGCCATCCACTTTTATGAATTTTAAATTGAGGATTGTTTTTCCACTGTAAGGGAATAACATTTAGACAAAGCAACTTTTCTGATTATTACATTGTGGCAGATAAAGTACAGTACAGACAAAGCTGTGGTTCAAAGAAAAGGCAGAAAAAGTTTTGACTACAAAGGGAAATACTCTTTCTATATAAACTGAAGAGCACGATCACTCGTGGATGCAAAAACGCCAAGCCAGGGAACATCAACCTGAGTTCTAAAAAATCCAAACAAAAGCAACAAAATATATACATTGGACTATTTTTAGAATTCTATGGTATGCCTCACATGAGGTAAAATGCATGTCTATATTCCTAAGCACAGTACTGTATGCACATCACAAACACCTTTTAAAATTTTGTACTAAAACATTTAAGGACCTAGAAAAAAAATTAGATGAAAACTTTATTCCAGCTTTAAAAACAATGCAGCATAGATATCAAGAACACAATAGTTCTGCTGAAACACTACAAGCTAATAGAAGTACCACATAATCCTCTACTTAAGGCTTTCTTTAATAGCAGTTAACATTTCTAAGCCAGTCACAATTTGAAATGAAGGAAAGAAATAATAAAAGACAAACATCAATAAAGACTTAAAATGAAATATTTGCTGTGGAGGTAAACATTCATGCTAGATTTTCTTTGCTTCTCATCTCCAGTGAGCAAAAGTATCTGAAGTAAAAGAGGAGAAGAAGAAAAGATGAATGCAACTGAGGACATTAACCCAAGACTGGGGGGAGGAGGGGGAAAGGGATGCTACATTTTATTTTCACCTTGCACCTACAGGATAGTAGAAGGGTGTCACATTCTGTCAGAAAAAAAAGGAAACTAGGACTGAAGAAAATCCTTATAACAAAGGAAAAAATTTGCAAACGCTTGTACAAGCTGTCAGCCTATCCACATCAACAATTCCATTAGATAATGACAATTTCAGTTTCTAATAGTTTTCTTAGCATGCATACACACACACACACAAATGTATGTGACTGAATTGATATTCAATTAAATATATAGATCAATGCATAGAGAAATATGTAACATCTGCATACACTACCACTTGCAGAGAGACAGAAAATATTGTTCCTGTTTAGCTTCCCAGAGAGAGAAGAATGAGCAGTTCCAAAGCAGGTGAAGGATTACATTTAGTTGAGGATGAGGATTCTCCTCAGGCAATAGTTCAGGAGAATCCAGGAAAAAATTCATGCATTTATTAATGAAAGAAATATTTTAGAATGAATTCTCTGATATAACAATACCAGGGTTATCTTAAGGCAACATTTTTGTTAAGTAAACTGTTAAGATCCAGGACAGTATGCTGTGAATACCTCTGGAAATTCTCATATTAGCAAAATGACATTACTGTTAATTTGCACTGCAGGAGCACAAGACTTAGGTTTTACAAACAGCTTTTCTCCCAGTTTAGCAGTATAGTTTCACCTGCCACCACTCAAAAGGTTCCTGTGATGCTGATGATTGTGGACTCTGGTGAATTATAAGTTAACGTAATTATTAACCCAGAAACACATTCTCTGAATTTATGGCCTATGCATGGTAACATGTAAGTTAGTTTTGCCTTTAAGATATATGAAAAAATATACCTTAAAAAAAAAAACTAGGATTCTAAAGAATTTTTATCCATCTTCTTCAAATTGGGATGTAAATTGAATATGTTGTAGTGCACAAATAAAACAAGACGTAGATTTATCTTTTATTCTCTTGCATGTATAACTTGAAGAAGAGATTTACCTCTCAGAGTCACAACTGCTGCTTTTGCTCACAAGTCTGAGCTAATATTTCCTCATTTATGAATGTTCACACAAGTTTTAAACACAGCTGGATAGCTGCTCTACCTATATCACATTCTTATGTTCTGAATGACACCTAGCGCTTGTCAAGCAAGTATATACCTACCTGTCTCTCTCTTTTTCCTACTTCTGCAAGGGTTGTTTTAAGCACCTTCATTTCACTGGTAACTGCTTCTAACATATTTTTGGCCTTTTCTTTATCTTCATTAGCTTCATGCTCCTTTAAATGAAGTTCCGATTTGACAGAGGTAAGTTGTTTCTCAGCCTTTTCTTTCATTCTTTGCAATTTGCCTTGAGACTTATTAAGTTCTTCTATTGTTCTGTTCTGCTCCAGAGTTTTGATCTACAATAATAAATGTTAAATCCTTCACACATTTTCATCTAAGAAGAATAAATAATAAAAATGGCTAATTAAGAACACATTTTAATGTGGTTTCTTATGGATTCTTGATGAAATCACACATGTGTGTGAACTGAAAAGTTGTTAAGCCATATTGGCCAATTTCACCTGAATTAACAGAAAGACTATTGTTTCAAAGACAGTTAATTTTCTCCTGAACGTACAAAAGCCTGCAATGTGAGTTCATTCTCTAATAGCCACTAGAAAATCAACATGAGAGTTGCCAAATGTTTTGCCAGAGAAAATCCTTCTGTTGGAACTAGCACCTACTTACCTACGTCAAGCAATCAGCCATAAGACACAAAGTCACATAAAATCAACCTTCCCTAGATCCAGTGGTTGTAAGCTATCAGTGATTGCAAACTAGTTGTTTCCATCTGAGTTAAAACAGTTTTTACTGCCGCAAGGTAATAAAACACAAAAACAATGAAAATTTAGCATCTTGCCTATTTTATGTGAAAAAACCCTCTCCCCCCCACCATTAATTGGAATAGATTTTCTGTGAGTTATGTATAAGAAAATACAAAATTACAGCCATAGTGAGAGGAGAATAAGGGATCACATTTTTCTTGTAAATTTGAAGATTTACTTTGTGCTTTACAAGTGCTATTTAGTGTACCAAGACAGACTGCAAAATATCCAAAACATGGTAATAATATATGTTTCCCAACCTAGATGCATTTGAGCAGTTCTCCATTAACAATTTTATTGTAAATGAACTTCAGCTGTATTCAACTGGGATAGAAAAATGGTTGGAAGCACAAATGCAACCTTTTAACTCACCTTGAGTTCATTGGTTTCAGACAGCTTGGCTTTGAGATCAGTATTAGCTTTCCTTGCCAGATCAAGCTGCTGCTGTAACCTCTCTATCACCTTATGTAACTTTCTGATGGTGAGATTAGCCTCATCCCGCTCCACAGCTAGGACTGTCCTTACTTGCTTCTCTTCTTCCAGCTGGGATATTTTTTGCCTCAAAAGGTTCATGTGCAACTCTTTACTTTCAAGTTTTTCTTTTTGAGTCTTCAACTAGTTTTAAAACCACAAGGATATTTAAACCAGTATTTGCAAAAGACAACGGTTCTGCACAGATTGTTATGTACATTTATTTACCTTGTTCCAGGTTTCATCTGAACTCCTAATCCTCTTTTGAAAACTAAGTAAAGCGATATACACATATGCATATGTATATACATATACAAACTATATACATACAGTGTGTGTACAGACACACTAACTTGATACGTCTTGTCACTGTACTTCTCCATCCTTAAGTCTGTATACCACCTTTTAGAGTGGATTTACATATAGACTCCCACCCTATTAGAATATAAATACTTGTGTATAACGTAATATCTGAGATTGTCTCAGATATAAGACACTTTTTAAATGCAAGAGGTTAGAGACAAATTCATTAAGCAGACTGTTTTAAGTAGCTATAGCTTAAGATAGTCCCATCTCTCTAAGCAGTTACTTTCACAAAATCTACAGTGTGATTTTAAACCTTAAGTGATCCTAAAATTCTAATCTCTAAACCATTCTGGTAAACCTAACAAGACACTTTGTCATTGCAGGATGACTGAGGGGTGTCTGACCCCAACTTGCACAGATTATCAAGATACCTAAAGGGGCACAGTTCTTGTTGGAAACGTTGAAATCCTTAGTGAGGTGCAACCTATATTTGACTAGTTTCTGGAGAAGCTGATGTGAGATGTCCTCCTTCACAGTAGATCCTTCTAGATTTAAATATTGTAATTCTTTAAAAAATTATAAATGTGTATTAAAAAGTAGACATATATACAGATATAAATATGCATACTATAACTATATTTTTTTGAAGAAGTTGTGAAAAGCAGTATCATGTATTAACAGACCGGTGGTTTTAATTGTTTTAATATGCAGTTTGGTTACACAGTTTGCAAATGTGCTTACTATCTTCTCTTTAGATAATTAGGCCCCAGGCTTCTGCCTCTAGCAAGCTATCATAGAAATATAGCCACAACAATGTTATCTTTGAAACAAACAGTAAGAATACATCTTTTTTGCCTACCTTTCTTCTTAGGCTATATGCAACGGTCTTATTTTCAATCACTGCATCACCTTCCAGTTTCACTAACTGCTCTACACGAGCTAGAATCGCATCCACATTCATATCAAATCCAACATCTGCTGTTACACTGTCCAGTTTCATCTTCTCATTAAGTTGTTCCAGAAATTTCAGATACTAAGATGTGAAAAAATGAGAAAAGAATAATAAAACTTCATTAAAAGTCCCATAGTGTAATTTAAAGCAATTCCCACTACACTGGCAATCAACTAATAGAGCCAAAGGTCATTATCCACAAGAAGCGAGGCACTGAAAGGATATATTTATAATATACGCTCCTGATGAAATTGCAAATTCTCATCTTTTTTCAATCAACGTTTATTTTTTTCATAAGTCCCTGGACCTACTGTATTTATCTTCTTCGCAAGACCAGCTTGCCGCTTGCTGACAGCAAGAGAGATGCTAGGTATATGTCTTTGTCTTCTTCTGACTACAGTTCCTTTCTGTGGCTCTGCTGTTCTACGTGACCAGGCACTGGCAGGGAGGAGGAAGAAAGGCCAGCCACACAGTCTTCTCATTTAACTGGAAATGCCTGCCCACTGCTGGGAGCTCTGGCTAATTAACACAGACAAAAATGATACCAGGGATGCCAGAAGAGATGCAATGTGGTATGAAGAGACACAGGAACGCTGATATGGTCAGTATTTTGCCCTTCCTCAGAAGAGCAAATTCTAGACATAACGGCTATTAGAAATTGCTCCAAAGATTATTTTAATTGCTCTAACATGAATTTCATCTAGTGTACTGATCTGAATACATACAACATACCCAATATTATTTTTCCTGTCTTGTTAGCCCTTTAAAAATTGCATTATTTCCCTGGTCACAGTTAAGCATCTTTTGTGAAAACCAAAGTTCTCCTTTTCATTAAGAACCATATTTGCTTTCATTTTCTCTTACTTCTGATATATTTGTTTAATCTTTTTCTACTGTCCCTGTTTTTATAGCTTTCATTCATTTTGCATCCTGACGTGATTTTTATCTGTATACACGTGCCATTCCTATATACTCATCTTTACCCATGTACTTCTGCATTTATACAATTTCTTTCTGATTTTTGGATAATTTAAGGAGTTCTTGATGCAAATATGCTGAGATTTTATTACCCTTCCTGTTTTTCCTTTGCACTGGAACTGGTTGTTGCTGTGCTCTCACACAACGCTCGCCTTCTTGGCCACAAGGGCACGTGGCTGACTCGTGGTCAACTTGCTGTCCACCAAGACTCCCACGTCTTTCTCTGCAGAGCTGCTCTGCAGCAGGTCAGCCCCTAGGCTGTCCTGGCGCGTGGCGTTATTCCTCCCCAGGTGCAGGACCCTGCACTTGCCTTTGTTGAATTTCATGAGGTTCCTCTCTGCCCACGTCTCCCGCCAGTCAAGGTCCCTCTGAATGGCATGGTCCCTCTGGTGTATCAGCCACTCCCCCCAGTTTAGTATCATCAGGAAACTTGCTGAGGGTGCACTCTGTCCCTTCCTCCAGGTCATTGATGAATACATGGAACAAGACTGGACCCAGGATTGAACCCGGGGGACACCGCTAGCAACTTGACTCTGTGCTGCTGATCACAACCCTCTGAGCTCTGCTATTCAGCCAGTTCTCAATTCACCTCACTGTTCACTCCTCCAGGCTTCCTGAGCTTGCCTGTGAGGAAGTTGTGGGAGACAGTGTCAAAAGCCTTGCTGAAGTCCAGGTAGGCAACATCCACTGCTCTCCCCTCATCTACCCAGCCAGTTGTTGTCCCATCATAGAAGGCTATCAGGTTGGTTAAACATGATTTCCCTTGGGTGAATCCGTGCTGACTACTCCTGATCACCTTCTGGTCCTCCACATGCTTAGAGATGGCCTCTAGGATGAGCTGCTCCATCACTTTTCCAGGGAGTGGGGCAAGTTCCCTGGCTCCCTGGCTCCTCCTTCTTGCCCTTTTTGAAGACCGGGGTGACATTGGCTTTCTTCCAGTCCTCAGGTACCTCTCCTGATCACCATGACCTCTCAAAGATGATTGAGAGTGGCCTAGCAATGATGTCCACCAGCTCCCTCAGCACTCGTGGGTGCATCCCGTCAGGGCCCACGGACCTGTGTGCGTCAAGCTTGCCTAAATGATTTCTAACCCAATCCTCCTCAACCATGGGAAAGTCTTTCTTTCTCCAGACTTTTTTCCTGGTCTCCAGGGTTAGGGGTTCCTGAGCACTGGCCTTAGCAGTAAAGACTGAAGCAAATAAGGCACTCAGTATCTCTGCCTTCTCTGTGTCCTCTTTCGCCAAGGTCCCTGCCCCATTCAGCAGCGGGCCCACGTTTTCCCTAGTCTTCCTTTCGTTAACGACGTATTTGAAGAAGCCCTTCTTCTTGTCCTTGACATCCCTAGCCAAATTTAATTCCAAATGGGCTTTGGCCTTCCTCATCGCATCCCTGCATACTCTGACTACATCCCTATAGTCATCCCAAGTGGCCTGTCCCTGCTTCCTCCTCCTGCATGTTTCCTGCTTATGCCTGAGTTCTATTAGGAGTTCTTTGTCCATCCATGCAGGTCTCCTGCTCCCTTTGCTCAACTTCTTGCTCATAGGCATGCACCGTTCTTGAACCTGGAGGAAGTGACCCTTGAATATTAATCAGTTCTCTTGGATTCCTCTCCCTTCTAGGGCCCAATCCCATGGGATTCTTCCAAGAAGGTCCCTGAAGATAGCTCTCCAAAGTTAGCTCTCCTGAAGTCCAGGGTTGTGATCATACTTATTGCCCTGTTTCCTCCTCGTAGGATCCTGAACTCCACCATCTCATGGTTACTGCAGCCAAGGCTGCCCCCAACCTTCACTCTCCAACCAGTGCTTCCTTGTTTGTTAGTACAAGATCCAGCAGCACACCTCTCCTCATTAGCTCCTCCATCACCTGTGTCAGAAAGTTATCATCAGTGCTTTCCAAGAACCTCCTACATTGCTTGTGCCTTGCTGTGTTATCCCTCCAGCAGATGTCAGGGTGGCTGAAGTCCCCCATGAGAACCAGGTCCTGTGATCATGAGGCTACTTCCAGCTGTCCATCTATTTACTCTTCCTGATCAGCTGGCCTGTAGCAAACACCCATAACAGTGTCACCCATGTTAGTCTGCCCTTTAATCCTTACCCATAAGCTCTCGACCCGCTCATCATCCACCCCTAGGCAGAGCTCCATTTATTCCAGGTGCTCTCTCACATAAAGGGCAACTCCACCACCTTGCCTTCCTGGCCTGTCTTTCCTAAAAAACATGTAGCCATTCATGACAGCATTCCAGTCACGGAAGCTATCCCACTGCACTGTAATTGCAAGGAGTTCATAGCCCTGCAACCGCACACAGATCTCTGATTCTTCCTGTTTATTCCCCATACTGCATACATTGGTACACAGGCACTTCAGAGAGGTATTTGAGCATGCCAATCTCCCAGGAGAGGTGCAAGAGGACACCCCATAGTCATGTCTTGTAGACACTTCTTTGGCTGCATGCACTTGCTGGAGGTATCCCCACTTAAGCCCTGTTTTGCTCTCTGGGTCGCCTCTATAACTCTCCCCTTTCTCCATCTTTCCTCGTTTAAAACTCTCCTTAACAGGTTGGCCAGCCTGTTGGCAAAGATGCATGTGTCCTGTTTAAGTGAGGTTGATCCCATCTCTCCCAATCAGTTGCCAATCTTCAAACAGGGTCCCACAGTCATAGAAACCAAAACCCTGTTGCCAACACACGCTGCGCAGCCAGTTTACTTGGAGAATCCATCTACTCCTCCTCTCATCCTTCCCCCTAACTGAGAGGATCGAGGAGAAGATGAGCTGGGCCCTCAGACCCTTGACCACCATCTCCAGAGCGCCGAAATCCCATTTGATAGTTTCCAAGTTGCCCTCGTGGAAGAGCAGCAGGGGGTAATAGTCGGATGTGCGGACAAGCCTCGGCAGTCTTTCCATGACATCTCGTATTTGAGCCCCTGGCAGGCAACAAACCTCTCTAGACAAGCGATCAGGTCGGATCAGATGCCTCTGTCCCATGCGGCAGGAAGTCACCCACAACAATCACTAGCTGCTTCTTCCGGGTGATCCTGCATGGCACAGGTTCCATCAGCTTGAAGCCATGCCCAGCTCTTCCTCAGCTTGCAGGGCACCAAACCTTTTCATCAACTGCAAGTCTTCAGGAGGAGCAAGAGCCCTTCTCCTTATATGAGAAGTGACCAGTTTCCAGCCTTTATCTTCTACAGACTTACAGCTTTCTGTTTCACATGGCACAGAGTCCACCTGCATCTCCATTGCAATGAGGGTCTGAGAATGTGTAGAGTCTCTGAGACTATCCTATCTATCTGTTGCTCATCGTCACAGATGCACAGATGCAGGCTGTGGCCTGCTTACGTCCTTCTGTAAACTCCTTGACCTCGTGACACAACTCATCAACGACAGCACACCTTCTGCAGAAAAGATGACTGTCACTGTCAGCCTCAGCTTCACAGAAAAGTCCCAGACACTCCCTGCAGAGCCACATCCACTCTCAGAAGGTCTATCTGGGTGGAAGCCTCTGATACAGCTGACACAGTGACTCCAAGAGTTACCGGGGAATGTGCTCTGTGGTGTGTCAAACCCATATTTGAAGAAGTGTACACTACTAAGACCGGAGACGAAAGGGCCTTCTTGCACCCTTCTGCACAAACTGCTGCATCTGTTCACTGCTTCTGTTAGCTGAGTAACAAATCATTGACACCAAGTCCTACTCCTTGTGTGCTGGAGAACGCAGTGTTTTCTTACTGTGTTATGTCCCCTCTGTTTTTTCCCCCCGACCTTTCCCCAGACACATTCAGCAAATCTGCCTCTCATTTCTTCCTGAGCTTATATCAAGAGTATGGCAACACCCTGCTATATACAGTGCAAATCTCTTCTTTTTCTCCCCCTTTCTGTCTCTGTGGAACAAACTGTACCATTTTATAGAAATGTTTCAGCTATGTGATTTACCCCAAGGAATCTGTGCGCTGCTGAGAATTTCTCTATACATTGTGGTGAATTTTAGATTAGCTTTATCTATTTTCTCTTATATCTCTAAGAGAGCATAAACTGAAACTGAAGGCAACTGGCATTTCTGTTGCTGCTCATAATCTTTTCAAAGGAACAACAGAGGAAAATCACAAATGAAAAAATAAAAACCTCCTGGTCAGTTCCATAACTGTTGCTTGAGCCCACAACGATAAAAGTGGCAAGAATCTTTTTTTGTTTCACACTCCTTCCAGTTCAAAAAGTTAAAAACAACAGCAGCAGAAGTAAGCACTGGTGGTGTTCATTAACAGAAAAGAACAGCAAAGATCTCTTTATTGCAGCAACATCTAGAGAGAAAATAAGAAACTGAGGCTATACGTTCTTCACAGAGGAAGAAATTCCATTTCCTGTTTGCTCCCAGGGTGGCTGATGCTTTATTCATAAAAGTTGCTGTATTACAGACAAGCATAAAAAATATAAAGTAGCATCAAATTGTTGGTTCTTTGCAAATTCAACAATTGTTCACTGAAGCACTGATCTTGGCTTCACAATATGCTATCACCCACCATCTGCTTTGCCTTTCTTAACTGTACTGGATGGCTGGTTTAGTTTTCCAGGTATTATGTCATTTTTCAAATTCTTAAAACGTAGATCTAGTCCAAAACAAGAGTGTGATCATTCACACTGTTAACAGAACAATCTTCATAGCCACAATGGTCTAAGGCTATAAAAGAATCAAGAACTGCAGGACCTTGAGATACTGTGCACCAAATAATATGCTAGAGGAAAACGGAGTAGCTTTGAGATCAGAGAATCCTTGAAGGACTCCTGATTCAGAGACTCTTACATCTCTTTTTTCACATTAAATGGACTTTGAAATCAGAAGCTTACCTACCTTTTCCAACTAAATTTGTTAGTCAAAGGAAAGATATTACTAAGCCACATGTGCTTTACTTTGCTAATTCACATTACTTGCAGTACTGAAATACTCAAGCTGATCAATGCAATACAATTAACTATCTCCCTGGCTTTACTAACGTTTATACAAAAGTAAATAACTTATGCAACTACTTTTTGTTTCTCAAGCTTCAAACCATCTTGCATTATATCTCCAGACAGCAATTCCTCTTCCAAATGTTTCAGTTCATCCTGGAAAGTCTCAGATAGTTTCTCAGCTTTCCTGCTCCTCTCCAGAGCTTCCTGGTACAACGTGGTCTGATTTTCCAAAGCTTCAGTCAATTTAGCTATTTGAGTTTCAAACTGAGATACCATCTAGGGAGCAAACAAATGAAGGGGTTAGGTTGGTGCAGAAATGCTGGAAAGAGATGAAAAATTTATTGTCAAATTATTAAAAAGAGGGTAAAAAAAAATCTCACTTTAAAACACATAAATGTGAAAAGGCAAGAAAAGAAAAAACTATTGTAGCCACCAAGAGAAAACGGCAGAAGTGGCTACATGTGAGACACCCAATAAAAATTAAGCAACAGAAACCATATCCAAGATGAGTCAATCAAGTAAAAGGAGCATGTATCTTTAAATAACTATTTCAATATAAACTAACTTAGACATAAACATTCCAACGACATTAGCCAGCCAGTAATACCTGGCAGTCAACTAGCTTCCTTTAAAAAAGGGCCATATGATCTCCAGTCTATCATGAAGTAGAGTGGAAAAAATAGATGAGAGCATTTTAGAAAATACAATACAATATGTAGATGAGAACTTAGATAAGAATAACTAAGTCTCAGGGGAGTCCATCCCAACTGTTAACATGTTTAAGGGCACTTAACTAAAATATTTTGCTAAACATTTTTTTCTGGAAGGCTAAAAGGATAAAAATCTTATAACAAGAAACTATATGAAGATTCTGAAAACAGTTTTAGCTCCAAATGGTTAACTTTGCAACTTGTGTACAATGTAAGGGATTTTAAATAGTAAACTATTTATAAATTAATGCTTAACAACATCTGATTATACCACTGCCAAATACTGAATTGTTATTTCTATTCAAAAAGTTGCTTGCTTCCCTAATCTCTCCTGTTCTTTCTGTCATACAATTATTTGGTTGGATAATGCATTTGTAACTCAGTTTTCAGTTACTCCTCTCCAAACAGTCTCTTCATTTTAAACATCTGTTTGCCTCATGTTAATAAAATGAACGATAAGCATGCAAAATTCCATTAATTTTAATGACATATAAAGGTTTCCAACTTCGATCACAATTAAATACAAACAATAGTTTACACCAAAACTGCCTGAAAAACACTGACAAATTACTGTTGCTTGTACAGTGGTGGAAAATACTAAATCATAATAAAACCATAGGAATCCACACACACATCTTATGCCTTTCTGCATCATATATATCACTCAGTAGAAAACATAGTTTTCAGTAACTTGGGCCAACACAGATATGGTGTTGTCAGAGAACACAGAAAACCTTTATCAGGCTGCACAGCGGCTCTACAGTTAGTCCAGCTGTATGGGGTTTTTACATGCTTCCAAAGACCATAAACATACCATAAACCATCATAGAAAGTGAGATCCCAAAATCATCAAGGTGTTAATTTGTCTTTAAGAGCATCCAGGACTGGATTTCCTCCTCAGCTTATGAACAACCAACAACTTAGGGATTTCCTGAAATAGACTTGCACCTTATTATCCATGCCTTTAGCCAATTGCTTATTAAGGACATATTTTTGGTCCTGCAGTTCTGAACTCCGTAACTTCTCGTGCCAAGGACTTATGTGGTGCAGTGGAGCAGCGTGTTTTTTTAAAAAAAAAAAAAAAAAATAAGTGCCTACCTGAAAATTTGCTTGGATGCCACTTATTTCTTGTGTTATAAGAAATTCCAAATACTCCAAATACAATAGCATCAATAAGTTGCACTGTTCTCGTTTTGTATGATGTTATGTTAAACTTCCTCTGTTTTGTACGCACACACATGTGCACCTAGTACAAAAACTTTAGATCCTCACTAGCTGGAAAACATTAGAGCTGCCACTGCTCTTATCACCGTCCTTATACCTTGTAGCTGTATTTTGCTTTACTGCCATCCCACTCACTGTTCCAAGCTGAAAATTTCTTGGTCTATCGAGTTTTTCTTGCATGGAAGCCTCTAGACACTCTCACAGCCTTTCCTTGTCCTTTTTAAAGGCTTTTGTGGGCGGATGAGATTATCTTAACTACATGTGGTATTCAGAATGCAGCAGCATCATGGATTTATATCATGGCATACTTACCGCTTTCATTTTCTTCTCTGCTCTTTTTCTAATAATTCCTCACATGCTGTTTGCTTTTTTTGGTCACTGGTAAGCCCTAAGTCAGTATCTGTATTACTCTTCCTATATCAACATTTAACATTTGTCAAATTATTTTCCACTTGTTCTTTTGTTTGGAAATAAAAAAAAAAAACATGCAGCATCATCTGCCTACCTCAAAATGTTATGCAGATGGACTGCAAGTTGCAAAATGCACACAAACTTATGCATGGACACAACAAAACAACCTTGATTCCACGGTATAGAGCTCTTTTGTGGGAGAAAACAAAAAGCAGATAGATCCTAAAATTAAATAAGCGTTAATGCCATCACAATTAAAATCACTGAGAATTTTGTCAAAAAGAGCAGTAGGAGATTTCAATGGGAGCAGTAGTAGAGCCTAATCAATTTTGGCATTTAGGAGTCTGTTATATCAATATACATGGTGAAAAATTGATACAATTAAGATAATTTATGATCAGATCAGCTGTTCCTATCTCAGGTCAGATGGGCAGGTAGTCAGGAGAAAGAACAGTTTCAGCTATAATTTAATCTGCTGCAACAAATCTGCTTAAACTTGTCAAACAGAAAGGACTGAACTCGCAGACCTCATACTGTGGCTGCGCTTTGCGTGAACTGTTAGCATTTGCTTGCCTTAAACTCCGGGTCCCATGTACCCTTCTGACATTTTATAAATAAAAAATGATAAAAACGCCCAATAGCTGTCCAAGCTTATTCAGACGATACACATCATCTTATAACTGCTGAAACGATTTTTAGGACAGTAATCCAAAGCAGTATCTTAATCCTGCAATATAATATCTGTCACCGGACATCGTCACTGTAAATGCTGGATTTTTTGGAATAAACTTACAATTTTTGGTAATGGTAACGGCTAACATGCAGGCCATTCAGATGCCCTTCAGATACTAAAAGCACGACAATTAGGGCATCAAATCTTCAAAAGCATTCTTATCTTACTTACACTGTCACTGAAAGCATTGAATGCCTTTCTCACGCGCACTTTTAAGTTTAAACTTCTCACAGCTCTGTTTAACAGGTGCATGTGCAGACATAAGCCAAATATAACTAACAGGACTCTGATGTAAAGGCGAACATTTAGCTGGTGGCAGCTGAGTTCTTGAGCTCTGTCAGGATGATACTATAAACTAAACTCCCAGAGTAGCAGCAGAGAAAACAACTTAAAAAAGAAAAAACAAAAACTGTTCAGAGAAGGCATCAAAGGGCCAATTGGAGAAGGTAAAGTCCTTTTTCTCCCAAATTCTTGCACTGTGCTTTTTTTTCCCTTGCACGTGCCAATGCAGTTAGCAAGGCAAGTTGCTTGCAGCAGCACCATGAGCGAAATGAAGCAATGCATACTCAGGCAGAGGACAGCCTCGACTGTAATCCTCCTTCCCTATACTGGTGATTCATTAGCAGATTTTTAACTTCCAACAGAAAGGCACTTGGCTGTTGCATTCACATCTAGCTGTCTTGGCATTACTTCTAGATTTCAGCCGCCAAGTGCCTTATCTGAAACAAGCTAGCCTGGGCATCAGCAACAGCACAGGCTGATTTACTCTGACAAGAAATTTATAACTCTCATTTACATCAGGCTTGAGAGTTTACTGAAAAGTCAATGAGGAATCTTTTCCCCTAAGAAGTATCTGAAGACAATTAATCCTTTTCATGACTGACCGATGGTAAAGCGTACGTATCCTAAAATAGAATATTATATCCAAGTCGTGCAAAGAAATTCACCAAAAGTTGCAATGGGACTCTGATCAAGAAGGTAGGACCGACACATATTTTCTCTGTAACTAGAGTCTTAGAAAATGCTTCTAATTCTGATTTCCAGAAAGAAAGACAGTTCACTATAAAACAACTTTTTGGATGATGCATTCTATGTTCTATGAGAAATGAACTCCTAAGTGCATGATATTGGCATTTTAGTTATTTCAAAGCCCTTAATCTTGACATAGGAACCCTTCTGAGAATAGATGCCAGCAACGCTTTAGTAACATAGTTCACTTCAGGACAATGCAGACAAATTTTCCTAAACCTTTGAGTCGTAGCAGTAAAACACTAAAGTTTCATCACTTAACATATTTGGTAAATACAATCATCCACAAAACTTCAGCATGCAACTTCAAGGACTAAATTCACCAAGCAATATTACACTTAAAGACAATATTTAATGTTCAGGAACTTCCTGAGCCACAAACTGTTTGAGAATGGACTAGCATTCTGGGGAATATTGCTTTATGTATTAGCAGGCAATTGCTGTATTTGCTGGCAGAGGCAGCAACAGTATGCTGGACATACCTGAAATGGCCCCTCTACTATTTAAAAATAAACCAACTAAAGAAGGCAACCACAAGACCAGCATCTCAGTTCCACAGCACAGATTTAGGCAACATCAGGTTGAAGCTGACACCTGCTCTGTCTTAGTAATAAAAGCTTTCTTTTAGCATATATATTTAACTTCAATAGCAAAAACGCTATTGAAAAAATGCTAAGGGTCAACAGGTCTTTCTGGGGGAGAGAGTGGTTAGAGCATAGAAACCAAATCAATGAATTATAACCCTGTTGTGAACAAACTGACCGTTTTCTGAAACTTCAGTTTCTTTACCTCTAAAATAGGAATAATCTTGGTTGTTTAGAAAAAACTGAAAACTGGTTATTACTGTGCGTGTCCAGGAAGAATAGCTAATTATTTATATAGTTCATAACAGTTCCATGTAACAGAATATGACTTTTCAAAGTAATTCTGTTCCTTGGAGAACTAGACACATTTCTCTCAAACTATTGGAAAAACATTTGTATCTGCAATGAAATAAAGACTGAGCTTGAATCTCTCCAACACTGGCAGTCTGCAAAACGATCAAGTGGGCAACCCAGCAGAGTAAATAATATTAAGGAATAAAATCAGGAACAATAAGAACTGAAACAAGTAGTATGTAAATATGCACCGTGTAGTATATCAACAAAGAAACTAACAGCTATTCAATGTAGTAAGCAAATTTAGCCTCAGCTGAGCCTTACAAAAGACGTAGGTCACCTGAAAGCATTTCCCAGCAAAACCTTTTGCCCAAAAACTACCAGTCTACTTAATTTTCCCTTTCTCAGCAGCTCTTAAACCAAGCAACATCTCAACTAAGCGCACTGTATGCCAAACAGCAAATAGCACAAACACATATGCACATAAAACTCTCATTAGATTTCAATTTTGAAGTATTTTGATTTTGACAACAACATTTCATGACATATTATAGCAAAACTGTAAAGATGTTAAACTTCTTCACAAAGCTTGACTCTTTTCATAGAAATTTGGCACACTGGCTCTCAAACTAAGGTTTAGGAGAGCTGAAGTTTTTTACAAAATATTTAATCAAAGTGCATCCGGCTATTTGCAAGAGACGTTTTCAGTCATGGACAGAATAAAAAACATACAATTTTTGCTAACTTAAAAAGTATCACATCTGTGGTAGATGCTAGAATCTTAACATCTGGCAAGGACACAAAAGCTTTTTAGCAGTTCAGTAGAAACAGTTTTTGATTGTATGTCACTTCTTAATTAAATAACAGTCCTCTCTGCTCACAAAATGAACATATGTCCATATAAACAGGAGAGAAACTTCATTACTCTGACCAACAGTCAGTCAGGGCTGAATGCAGATGTTGTTCAGAATGTGCTAAAAAGCCTAATTTGCTCTCCTAATGTAGTACACTGACTCACCTCCCTTCTGAGCTGTCTCTTCTCCACCTGCACATACCCTTTCTTTGCAAAATCAGTCAAAACCCTTCAATCAAAGGTATTAAAATACTCACCTGCCTTGCTACTGCCTTTCTCCTGGATGCGGAACAGCTACGGTTTCAACAATGTTTAACTCGAAGTGTAAAAACATTTTTCTAGGTGCAGGCTTTGAGGACTCTAGGGAAAGGATTTGCCTCAGACAACTGTGTACCTCATCAGTTATGTCTTTGAGACATAATTTCGAGAAATAGTTCGGTCCTTGAAGTCACTAGTGTAGCAGAAAATCCATACTTGTTCATCTAAATCATAGTGACCATCTGCCACTTCTGAGGTCTGCTAAGCAGCACTGAAACCAAGTTTCAACGTTTTAAACAGCAGACCATTCCTTGTCTTTTCTCGTTAACAGCATTTATTATTTATCTCATTTCTGATCTCCTCCTATGTAATAAAACATATATTGCTTTTGGCCTAATAATATCAAAACAGACAAGCAAATTGCAGATATCTAATTTCAAAAGCTAAGTGGAAGGAACCAAAGCTTAAATAGATAAATAAGATAGAAAACAGCTAAAAGAAAATAAATACACACATTGGGAAAATCCAGTAAATGCTCACTTACTATTTCTTTACTCTCCTCTTTGCAGTTTATTTCTCGAATCCTCTCTAAAATGGCCTTCTCAGAAGGTTTAACTATTGAAGATCTACTGCTGAGTAGGGAAGCTATTTGCTCTTTAAAAGAAACCAAAGAGTTTTGAGCAGTCCTGGCCTCTTCTAGGCTGTTCTTCAAACTTCCGTTCAGCTCACTGGACGATCTCTTCAAATTGTGCAGTTCTTGCTTTGAGGCTTCCCAGGCTTTCTGGTTAGCAGTCAGTTTGTCTTGGAGGGTACTGATCTCCATTTCCAAACTCTGTCTTGCTATTACAGCATTGTCAAGGTCCTAAGACATATGAAAGATCAAACCAGGCTTTTAAAATCTGTTAGAACTCCCTAAAGCAGGGAATAAGTCAGAAGTTGGTATTACAATTAAAAGAGTTAGGATCCGTATTGTTTATATAGGGCCAAGAACATCACGGCTTCACAGGAGAATTCGCACTGAAATTAATGAAAGCCCAAAGGATGCTGTAATCACATTGTAGATTAACCTCTTGCAGTGACCTGCAAGAAGTAATATACAAATTAAATTTGCAGGTTAAACATAATTTGGGGTTATAAAACAATTGCTAAATTGTATTTTCATTCACAAAATGAGACTTAGAAAACCAGTAGTGAACAAAATGTAATACAAACAAAGCCAAAGTACCACATCTAGGAAGGAAAAACATGAATACACATAAAGCCTTTAAATATAGTGTTAAGAGTAGAATTAAGCTTTCCCGAACATGACAAAAATTCCTGAGATTAAATATGTACAGAAATAGTGAAAAGGGAAGGGGGGTGGGAAACAAATAAAAAAGAAGAAAAAAGTTAAAACAGCATAAAAGAAAGTGCAAATGCTCAAATACCAATTTTATCTTAAAGAAGAAATAATCTTTTGTCATGGTTCTCATTTAGCCTCTGACAGCCATAATACTTTCCTTTGAAGCTCGGAGCTTTTACAGGTAATTTTCCCTCTCTCTTCTGAAGAGCCAAGACTCAGCTTGGAAAGCAGACAAAGAACCGGTACATATATGTTTTATATAAAATATTGGCCCAACACAGCAGAGTAAATAGATAGAACTGTGTATCCTGACCAACGACACAAAGGCAAATGATGATAAAAACATGAAAGAAAAACATCCCATCTGAATATAAAGAACAAGTTTATGTTTTATTCAATCAGCTTTTGAACCTCCTTCTTTTCCCCAATACAGTAGTATTAAGACTGATTAGATATTTATATACAAGAATAAAATCTGCAGTCAAATCAACTGAAGATGTAGCAAGGAGTAGGTATATCCTTATTCCTTGGGGCATTATCTGACTGACAAGTACAGACGGGAAGAAATATTACTTCACAGAAGACACAAAATTATACAACTGGATGGCATATTCATAGAAAGTAGTTAAATTTCTCTAGAAGTTTCAGGTGCCTAGGGGACTCAACAACTGTGTGGATATCAGCTAAGATTGCCTTCATTAGTATTAAAGAATTGCAGCACAGTACACCATTTGTATCAATGGAATACATGTTAATCAAGTAGTAAATGTAGGAACAATCATACAACTCAGCAGTGAGGATGGACAAAAAAGGAGTCTGGGAGGCTCCCTCGGAAATAAAATATAAACATACCATACTAAAAATACTAAGATTTTTAAATAACTTCAAAAAGACAAACATGCAAACACATAAATGAAAACAAACCAAAACAAACCCTGTCATTTAGGAAATTATTTGTTAACTACCCCTTCCTAAAGTAATTGTAGAACCCTCTTGGAAACAAATGCTGGCATGATTCCTTGTCATTTTCTCTTCTGTATTCTAAACAAGTCCTATTAATAGAAAATTCCCACCTTTGCTGAGGAATTATATTACAGTAATTACAGCAAAGAATACAGAGTGGTTTATTTCAATTATAGTTTTCAGCAGTTTCTATTTGCCTTTTCAAAGAAATTCTGAAGAAAAGAAAATTCTTTCCTTTTTAAGTGCAAATGTAGTTTGCTAGTACCAGGGAGTTTACCAAATCACAATCTTGTTTCAAATTGTCAACATCTGCAAACAAACACAGTTAATTCAAAAGATCAAGGTATAAAATAAGTAACTGCAAGCTTGTTGATGCCTAAACATGGAAAATACGTACATGCAATTTACAGAATGAGAAGGAGAAGAAGTAAAAGCCGAAGCTTTAAAATTCTGAGCAGTCTTCCTCCACAACTATCTTGAACGGAGAACATTCACACTGACTAGCTTAAGCAAGGTCAGTCTGAATGTAGAACAGTATCTGGAAGTTTGGATACTACGATCTATAAAGGTGCTATCCCAACCAAAAGTAAAAACCTAAAAGCCTAATGTGTTCATGGTAGGAGGATAAAACAGTTTCCACCCCCAGAAGACTGAAAGAATGGAACCATAACAGCACATGTTTTCTCTTCAGTTCCTCAATGTTGATGGCTTATGTCCCATGGCTCTGAATTATATGAAGGTTTTGGTACGCGCCTTGTAAGGTCAAAAAAGCTGGCCAATTCTGACACAGAACAAAATTTTGAAAACGAGAATAATTACAGAAAACACATAAATTAGAACAGAATTAAATATAATATGTAATTACCAAGGAGACACAGTGTCAGGTGACTGATAGTTAGACACAAGAGATGTAGCAAATCTAAAATGGATGTACTTATATGCTGAAATAGAAAGCCGTGCCAGAAATGCTTAAGCTATCAGAGACCTGAGCTAAAGAGTTCATGTGGCACAGTGCCGTATGCAAATTTACCAACTCAGGCCCAGAGGTAGTCTATCCACACTCACCTGCTGGCCCTCTACCTGCACTAATAAAATCTGACTCTAACCGATAGAAGATGTAGGAGTATTCATAGCATTGCACAAGACACTGGCAAGTGTCTCGTCAGAAATAATGCATTCAATATTAGATGTCACGCTCACGGAAAATATACTCAGACCAGAACAGGTGGGAAAAATTACTTCTATCTTTTAAATGGAAAGAGATAGCTTGTTTTGTAAGAAAAAAAATGAGAGCTGTATTTAACACTCCAAAGCAAATTCAGGGAGATATGATTGCATTAAAAAGGCGGAAGAACGAAAGGAAAAACAAGGAGGGATAAGATCTGTGTAGTAATAACACATATCCTTACGTTTGAAGCGATCACCCTATTGATCTCTCTCCAGAGATTTAATTAATCCACACAAAGTGAAACAGCTTCAGTAGAAGAGAGTAACATGAGAAGAGCTACACCAGATCAGACCAAAGGTTTATTCAGTCCAACAGCTCGTCTCTGACAGCAGGCAGTAACAGCCATCTCAAAAAGAGCATACAGAGCAGAGGAAGTATTGTATACTTCTTCAGAACACTCTCCCACCCCAAACTAATTGCAGCGCAGAGACTTACTTCCAAAGAGATAAAGAAAAATACTATACTGTAGGAAGATGGATACAGACTTGAAAGTTTACGAGACAAGTGAGGCTTTGTCCAAAGAATTCATACATATTGAACAGCGACATTCACATAGATGACAGTCTCCAGAGCCTTACTCGGACTTTGGCAATATAGCTGTCCCACATACAGAGCTGGAGGAATTAACTGTTTATTTTTGGTCAAAATTCACTAATACTGACACTTTCTAAAGGGCCACAAAATATTTACAGAATTCTAAGAGCAAGTTCTTGCGACATTCGGTCAGAAATGTGAGAAGTTCAGAATTCTTAGACAGAGAAATTAATACAGTACAACAAAAGCTTGGTGGCAAGCCATGGTTAATTATATGAGTTTCTGTTGTTTATTTTTGACAGTTGTGATGCAGTGAGGCTGAGAGGGGAATAGATGAAGTTGTAGTTCGCATGCTAATGTTGCTCAAATGAAAACCAGCTAACTACAATAAATATTGCAGTAAATTTACTCACATATCAACCATATATCCTTCTGAAATATTGCTTCACTGCAACCAGCTTGGCTTCCATTTTCTTCATCACAAATTTCAAAATCTATTAAATGTTTTACATGATTGTTTTATAGCTGCCTCCTAATGAGACATAAAGAAAAGCAGAGAGAAAGCTGGGGGAAACTGGCCGCCCCCTTGATCTGTAATACAGAACACGGCCAACATATTTGACCCTAGGAGCGTGAGGCAAATACAGGCAAGAATCACTTGTAGTCAATTTGTGCCGGGTAAATTCTGTTACAGGCAATTCCATTAACAAAAGCTCAGAAAACAGTTTGGGCACAATGAACAATCTACTTGTTTCCTCTAAAACAGAAATATTTGGTTTTTTGACTCTGACAGTAAAGACTGGATAGTGTGGATGCTTTATTCTTTGACAAGTAAGTGTACATATCATGAGGTGCAACTGTATCCACATTCTTATTTAAACTGCGCAGCAAAATCAAATCTACTCTATACCACTCAGGGTGCTCCTGTTGTAACCCAAGTCACCCATCAGGGGAAGCGGTGATGCTGTATATCCTACCTTAGATATGTATATTAAAATCTTTCAGTTTTTACTTACTTTTTCAATACTGAATTTCTTAATACACTTTTGCTGTTACACTGTAACCTTCTCAGTCAATTTACTCTGTATCTGTAACCTTTTGTAGCTAAACCAAAGCAACACTGGAGGAATCTGCAACCTCCGTGTAAGCCATGATGGCGCACACTTCATTTGAAACGCAAGAACTAGAGAACCACTGAAATTCCATCACCACTTGCTTATGCTATTAATTTAACGTGACATTTCTGTAAAACAAATTAAATAAATTATGTATTTGGCACAGGCACAATAAATCATAGGAAAATATTTTTCATAAAACTTGTTCAAATTTGGAAATGTTTTAGCCGTCACAGCAAACTTAAAAAACACCACAAATGAAGCCAACATCTTGGTTTAAAGTGTGCCCTGATTCCAGCTTACCTAGTAAATATACTACATTTTCTCCTTATTCAAACACAAGTTTGTGTTTGAGGTATGGGAACAAAAAAAAAAAAAAAAAAACTGTCCAGAAAAGACCTGTTTAAGTTTTCAGTACAGGTTCTTTCACTCTAAGTTTAGTCTTGGACAGAATATGTTACAAAGCTCGGTTAGAGGTGTTTTCAGAAGTAAGATTTATGACCCTACTGGTATTTAATATTTATCTTCTCCATAACAAACTCTTTCTTCGCTAAAGCATGCCAACAGCTATTTCTCATCTCCTAAGTACCATGTCTACAGCCAAATCAGAACACTTCATCTTGTAACGTGTATAGTGGTGGTCTTTTGTTCAGGAAAAGACTAACATTGGCGGGGGGGGGCGGAAATTATATTAACTTGAAAACTTATTTGCACAAGGTTCTACTTATGTCAAAATTTCTATGCCTAACTCAGCTACATAATTTAGCAGCCTAAGTTACGGCTCTTTTTTGTTAAGCCTGGCCATCAGCTTTAATCACACTGCTTTGGTACCTGCAGAAAATCTTAATATCATTTTAGTAAACTCGAGCAATAACTGTAAAAAGGCAGCAAAGTCAAGTATTGCTTAATAAGAAAAACTGCTACAATGGCTTATATTATTGTCTGTCTATTCTTTGCAATGTACCAAAATTCTTAGTGGTGAGTTCTCTTGGAGCACTTAAATCTCACTTACCCTTACCTCTTCCAAACTGTATATAGGTGAGCTTGTTGAATTCTTGACTTGCAGCTTTACTTGTATTTCTCATTTCAGTGTTATTCCTGCTCAGATTTCCTCCATGGGTTCCCCAGAGCAAAATAGTGTTTTCCTGCAAGAGCCACGCTACTGGCTACAACTTACTTGTATACGAGTCAACTGAATATTTACAGTCAAGAAGCATGAGTTTATTACAAAGTGAAGCAAATAATTTAGTGTGTCTGGAATCTAATACATTTTACTTCAGTTCCTTACATGAAAAGAATGAAATACTGTTCTATTAATTCCTTTCAATTTCTCATTAGAATTTTTAAAGAAACTGAGCAGAACCCTTAGCATTTTTTTCCTTGTGCCATGCTTATGCCTCAGAGATTCTTGATAACTATATATTACATTGTTATAACAAAACATCTGTGAAATTACATGTCTGTGCAAGCAACAGCAAAGCCTACAACTGTACGAAGGAAGCAAAGATATCAATTTGCAAGTGTCAACAGAAGACATCAAATCTAAGGCAAGCCTCTCTTCAACTGTGTTGTTGTTTAACCACTATATATTTGCAAGATTTCAAAAAGTAGAGGGTAATCATAGACAAATATTGTCTTTTTACTAAAGCTCCTAACCCTTGAAAGTTTGTCAAAAATACTTTTACTAATACAACTCCTATTGAAAATTAATTTGAAATTTCTAGACAATATCTGTAAACAAGATAAACGTGCACATCACGTAATTATGTACCTTACTAAGTTTTTCCATGTCTTGATAGTATCCTGCTGCCTTTTTCTGCTCTTTGGTCACATCTGAAACAAGCCTCATGATAGTTTCTCTGCTAGCCTTGGACTCCATCTCATGGGCATCGATAGCTTCTTGAAGAGCAGCAATCTGGCTTTTTAGAGTCATATTTTCTTTACGTATTTCACAGGCCTAGAGAAATAATTCAAATATTAGTAACTTTTTAAAAAACACTTAACGGTAACCTATATTCATCACAGTACACCTGCTTGTAATCGTCCTAAAAAAGACCTGGTGTTTTTAAGACCTGTAGGTCAGATTTATAATTGCATTTTACTATTCCTTTCTAAAATAGTAGAAGGACACTTAAAAAGAAAATCATATCGCTGCCATAAACCCATATCTTGGTGCAATGTGCTTCAGACTTACTCCCACACAATCTCTATGACCTACTAAAGATGTAGAGAGCTACTGTCACTTCTCTGTATCTGTACTTGACATGCAGCAGGTCAAAAAAATGAAAATAGATCATGCAAATATCTTCATGTGAAAAGCAGACAGTTTTGGTTTGGTTTGCTAAGATTTATGTCTATCAAACCTTCGGCAAGAGAAACTGAAAGCTTCATTTCATGCTTGTAATTGTTTAGGCTTGAGCTAGTAACAGCTATTTCACTAGCATATTCAAGGATGGGCCAAATAACTGATGGGTTGCTGCTCCGAACAACTGACACCTTGGAAAAAGTAGTCATTCCAGGAAGATTCTAGGTCTATTTTGGTGTAATATGCTACTTCCAAGAAGCAGAATAGATGAGTGTTGGCACTTCAAGGAGCATATAAGGAAAATAAGGAATAAGAAGTACCCTGACTCCTACCAGTAAGTTGTTTCTTAAGATTAAGACAGAATACTTCTGTCTTAAATTAAACCATAATGTAGAAAACAACCTAGATACACGTACCATGACCCCAAACAGAAAAACGAGTAGCTACATTTTCCTAAAGCATACAATTCTCAGCACAAACTAGATTCGCCGTCTAGATTTATGTCATTAAAAAAAACATCGGCATATTTTTTCTAAACTCTGTGTCTGACTATTTGTTTGACTTAAAGCATGTATGAGTTACAGTTTAACACCAAATATCTTTCCCTGAAATGATAACTAGCCAGGTTGCAGTAGAGCATTTGTCACAATTTGAATGTGCTTGTAATATTATGACAGCAAGGGCTGTAAGAAATCACTGCGACACATATTTAGATAAACTTAATTTATTACGTATTCCTTAGAGCCAGATTTCTTATAATAATATGAATATAATGAAGCAGAATTTCCTCAAAACCTAGTATGCTCCCAGGGGAGGGAAAAATAGAGACAGAGAAGACTAGACAGAACATGAGAAAGATGCATAAAATTACGGTAAATTGGCCTTCAGCCACATCTCAAAAGGCTAACAGATTATAAAAACAATTTTCCTTTCCTGAATGGAAGCTCATCTCCTAGAACTTTAGAAATGTTATGAAAAAAGATAATAAAGTGTTATGATTATGTTTCAAATACATCACACAGTGATTTATAACATTTTGTTACAGGACATGGAGAGGGTTATTTCAGTGTATGCCTTTTCAGATGTTTCTACTTAGCAGTACATTGGCTTTAGAGAAGCGTTAAAAACTAGTGGTACAATTTATACGCCACCTAGTGATTCCCAATGTTAATGTTTTCGGAAAGCTTTGAGCTACCTCTCTAGTCAGGGTTTTTACTTAAGAACTACTGGTTAATTATATATTTATGCAGATAAGACCAGACTGAGTTCAGTGAGGTCTATTAGTGTTCAGCACCTTTAAAAATCAGGCCAATCTGAAAAAAAAATGCCTTAAATAATGATTTACAGAGAGTGTTATTGTTTAGCACAAAGATTCTGTCTTTGTCACTTAAGTTGTTGAAATACTTACTTTATTTCTTTGATAATCAAATATTTTCCTAAAAAAATCAGCATAGAAAGTATGAATGCATTTTTTGTCAAGTCAAATATTTTTTAAGAATTAAGCTCATTTTTGCAATATCCACTGGAGTAATAAAGCACAGTGAAACGTTTCAATAAGCCTCATCAGCACCTATTAGAAAGCCCTTGCCTACACATCATCACCTTTAAAATTAAATGTTCCTGCAGTTCCTCTTTTTCTCTGATGTCTGCGTCCAAGGATCCAGAAAGCTGTGTAAGTAGTTCCTCATGTTTTCTGCTGATCTTAGAAGCTTGAGTCTTGCTTTCTTCACACTCATTCAAATATTTACTAATCAGCCAAAAAAAACGCATATCAGGACAAATGTTCTCTGAAACAGAGTTCTAAGCAAAAACATTACCCTAAGATTATTGCTAGCTGCACAACTGCGTGCTGTAAAATGATCTTTACAAGTTACATATGTTATATAATTCTCTGTATATATTATTTAATACATATAACTTGTTAGTTCCTTTGTGCAACCACGTCTTCGTCTTTGCTTTTGATTAGCATTTTAAAGAATCCTCTACAATCCCATCATTCGTAGCACAAGATTTCACCAAAACACAAGAGCCAGGTAACATTAACATGCAGTTCCCTCAAGACCTCAAGATATTAGTAGTAATGGAGGCTGCAAGTAAAAAGGTAAGAAAAAGTAAAGAGGGGAAGAAAGTTATCAAATCATATTAAAAAAAGAAAGCTAAAAGCACCTCACATCCCTTCTCTAAGGAAACTGACAGCGCTGTTCCACAAACTCGGGGAAAAAAGCCCCTCTGACGAATGGAAGCATAGGACATCCAGAATACTTGCAAAGGGAAGTTTACAGGCAGCAGCAACCAGAAAAGGGAGATACTAGTTTCCTGTAGGTGCAGCCTTCTGCAGTGTTGCACTACCCAAGAAAAAAACAAATGGAAGGAAAGGGAAAAAAAAAAAAGTGCAATCCTCATTCAGGCCTAAGGGTTCAAATTAAAAACAAACAAACATGAAAACTACCACTGGAGTCTGCAGACAAGGCAGATTTTTCTCATCAATTTCAAAAGGCGCCTATCATTGCAGATACACATCCCACATCACATACCTATCAGTTCTACAGCCAAAGTTATGCAAAATAACAGCAGGTATAGGTATGTAAGTGCTCTGTAAGAATGAACAATCAAATACCAGACTGGTTGATTTAATTCATTGGCATAAACACAGCTACATTCTTTTCATTGCCACAGACAAAGACATGTTTAGGAAACAAGCACTGGCACAGCCTGTGTAGATAATAAATGTACAGAAGATCTAAACCTTGTTCATGGTGTTGTAGCAGTGAGCATCACTCCTGAGAAACTGCAAAGGAACAGACTGGCAAAAATAACCATTCAAAGACAGCTCAAAATAATCATTTGTGAAATCCAAATATCAACTCCAACATCATTTCAGAATACATAAGAAGGAACAGAACTAATCAGAAGAACAAACTGTTTATACCCTTGGTATACCACTCAGACACTGTCGGAAGGAACTGGTATCAAGGTATCCATAGCATTTGTTAAACCCAGTAACATGCAGAGATCACGGATAATGTTAGCAAACAGCACTGCAAAAAACCTGACAATTTTCAGTTCAGATTCATTCTCAGAGATAACACATACTAGAAAAGTACTCAGCGGTAAAAATGCAATTGGTTCAAGAGCTAGAAGCCTTTCGAGCTTCTAGACGAGAAACAAGGTACTTTCTAAAGCAAGTTCTCAACAAAGATTTGAGCACTAGAATAAAATGAGATCTCAGATATCACCAAACAGCTGTCTGTTAACTTGAGCAACAATTCCTTTTAATTCTATTATAACACTTATTTATTAGAGCACAGAGCTATTCTAAGCTTTCAAAGTGGGTATGTTTGCAGTTTTACGACTCTCTCTTTTTCACTTTTGCTTTATTCTTCTCTAGAATGGCAATTAAAGAAGCAACTGAGCACAATTCCAGTATCAAAAACCATCACGAGACACCTATGGGAAATGCATGGTGGTTATGAACACAGTACATTGCACCGCTGTGAACTGGTGTCAGAAAAAGAGGCCGGCCATGAAAAATCGTAAGACACTGCCTTAGGAGGGAGATCAGCCCAGTTGCTGTCATCGCTGCAAAGCAGAAGAGAGTAGATGAATAAAAGAGAGGAATGAACAACATCAATTATTGTTCTACGCAGGATGAGGAGCATGCCATGCAATACTGCACGGTGCACGCTGTGAGCCAAAAGAGCTCTATCTTACGGAGCATGCTCTGGCCCTCAGGGTACAAGTATCTCACAGTTTTCTCACTTTGAGGCAACTGATGTTCTCCTCCGTTACCCAGCAAAACTAAGCTTTGAGATGGCTGCTAAACTGCTATCCGAAAGAGGGATACATCAGAAGTGGAAATGTGTGAGAATCCAGAAATGGATACACACATACATACTAGAACAGTGTATTAGACTGACAGCACTTACACTGCATACAAAGTACAATATACAGGTATACATACAAGCCTCATTCAACACAAGTGTACAGTTTACTGCAGAAGTGCTGCCCAGATGACCTGCACACATTAACTCACTTCAAAGCTGGCCCTGCTTTGCATGGGGGCTTTGATCAGATGACCTCAAATGGTCCCTTCCAACCTAAACTACTCTGTGATCCCATGCACCGAAAACCCACACCTCAGACCATGCTGAACTCACTGTGCATGCACTATGGAGTTGATCTCTGCTGGTACCCTCTAGGATTTCTGACAATCTGAAATTTGATCAAAGCTACTGTGTGACAGAGTAGCTGGAAATCCTGAAGGAATGGAGGAAAGCTTCAATTCCTGTGCATGGCAAAACTTCTAAGTGGGGAAAAATAGTACCTGTCGGAGGAAGCCCAAACGTGCGGTAGTGCTAAGACCACCTGTATATACCACAGGAAACATCTGGTCTCACATTTAAATGGTCAGCTTGACCTTCAAGAAGACTTGAAATGTCATAAGGCAGATAGCTTTTTTCAAAGTACTAACAGATTCATGAACAAAATGCTTGTTCATATTAATGTGAACTTTTACAACATTAACAATGACTTTCCAACCTTTTATCAGATTCCAGACAATTTTACACTATTGCCAAGGCAGCAAAGCATATATTAACTACATTCTTGAAACCTCCAGGCTAGTTTTTGGAGCAAATTTTGCTGCAAGTTAACAGCGATAACATAGAATATAAATACAGACTTTAACCTTTTAAAAATAATTTTATTTTTCATTTTTAATCTTTGCGCTAAAAATAAATGAATTTACCATTTAAACCCAAGAGCATGAGAACATCACACGTTATTACTTGCAATATTTTTTAAAGGTCAGTGTTACTCTACAATGACATAATAAGCCTTTATATGGATTGCTTCTTGGTGACTGCCGTTTCAGATGCGTTCAATTTACAAGTTCAAAAATATCTCCTTGACTGCCAAGCATGCAAACTGTTCTGTGGCTCTGAAAATCAAGGCACATCGCATACAGAACCGTGATCGCTTCTAAAAATAAAGGATCTGAAGTACAAAGCACATACTTGACAACTCTCCAAATAGCCCTCATTACCTTCAGTACAACCATACAGGTATGAGCACCTAGAAAATAGGCAATGAGATACAAAAAAAAGTGAAGTACAGCTCTTTCACAGTTTTGCTAGCTCTTCAGAACTAATGAGCAAAGAGAAGGGGAAAAAAAAGCTTTTCACACCTCAGGCTCTAAAAATACCTTGGCAATAGCCCTACTGAGTAGAAAAGTACCATTTCGAATAGGAGAAGTGCACTACTTGGAAACCAATCACAGAATTCATTAAACATTTTTGACTCTATCCCTGGGTATAAAATGCAAATGTGCACTTCATGCCTACTGCCTTACTCTTCCCTTCTATTAGTGGTGAAAATCCTGAACATCTATTTATGACTTGTCATGTGCAATGTGCTGCCAAGGTTATCAGAGTAAGCAACTAAAGCTCATTAAGTCAGTATATTGACTAGTATTAAGCGGGAGCACAGGAACATCAGGATGAGAAAAAGGATGAGGATGAGAAAAAAAGCTTTGAAAGTGTATGATACAGATTCATGATCAGATGAATCCAGCATAAACACTTGTTCCTTCCAAAAGAGTGGACTTACCCTTCCTCTGTTCCTTCACTTTTGCCAGCGCTCTGGTGGCATACGCTAGGCACACGGTGAACTGGATCTGGGATTGGAATAGCTGAAAACTACACTCTTTATTTAATTATCACTTGGAGCAGTTCCCTGGTCCTGTTCACCATGCGGCCACACAAATGGAAGTGCTGACACAAGTGAAATGGGCAAAACAGAGCAGCCAACTAAAGGACAGGACCACGCTGGGGGCAGCAGCACAGATTTGAGCCACATGAAACGGATCACATCACTGTAACAATAGCTTACTGCTATGACACATGGTAATGTGACTGATTTCTCCTAGTGAGTCAGGCAAGCAGGGCAGAAGGTCCTGCTTTCTTTTTTTCAAATATAGCATTTAAAAGAATCTTAACAACAGTTATTTTAGAGACTGTAATGTTTACTATGCTGTTAGGATGCATAACACACTTTCTGGCTTAACTATTCCCTTGCTTATATTGGGAACATAATCTAAAATCTTTGGCAACCTACATCAGCACTCTTCAGGTAGGGCTTTTGGCAATTCAGCTGGTAATAAACAAGCGCACCATAACATATTTCTCCAGCTACTAAAGTAACGTCTTTATCCACTTCTAATTCAGAAAGCCTGGAAGAGCTGTACAAAATACTGACTTAGGAAATACAGACATTTGGTAAACACTCATCTTGCTCTTAACTAGATAATATTGAGATAGACATGGCATTCTCATTTAAATATCTGCCTTGCAATGGTTACAAGAATGGAAGTCTAACAGTCTATAAGGTGTTCATTAATATGCTGTGATTTACATTAATTACGGAATTTTAGAGTTTGCAATATATTCATGCTGATCAATTTTATTTATGGTCAACATTACTATCATTCTCCTTCCCACGGACCCAAAATATCAGCAAATATGCATACCAGATTAGTATGCACTAAAAAAAGAAAAGAAAAAAAAAAGAAAACACACAGTAATATCCAAAAGAAAGCAGAAGGAAAGTCAGACAAAGCTAACATACTGAAAGGTGTACATTAACGTGCTCCCATAAGGATGTTACTAACTAGGAACATACCACATTTTCTTTACTACACTGCTTCTAACAAAGAGCTTAACAAAAATTTCACTTGACACTATTCCAGTTCCAGCTGTCCTAGAGAGGAGGGGAAAAGAGACAGAGTGGTACAGCAGCACGGTTACTCCCTACTGCATGGCCCATGCATCATGTCAGGCAACAGATATGTATCTGAAAAGGCATCACATGCTAAGGACAGGCTAGGGCACTAGACTGCAGCTAGAAATGGAGCTCATAATGATTGTGCTATGAAAAGCACAAAGTTTACATCGGTGCCATACTTGGAAATAACTGAATGAGGAAACTATACTTTTTTTTTTTTTGCCGTGTTCAGAGAAACAGACCTCTGTGTTCATTTTTGATAAATAAGGTCACACCAAGCTAAGTCATATAATTTGTCCTCCAAACGACACAACTCTTAAAGCCTTATTTATGGGCTAACAACTCAAAACAAAATACTAATTTCAATACCTTCCACACACTCAAGTACAATGATTTTGCAAGGCACTAAAATGGAATTCAGGAGGTCCCCAATGAAGTCTACCAAGATATTTTTCTATGTTGACAGCTACTGCATTCTGTCACCCCAAACGCAAATTGTTTCATAGCTCATATGAATCTTACTTCAGTTCAGCATTTTGGTCATGAAGTTTCTCCTTCAGCTCCCGGTTCTCCTTGAATGCTTCCTGAGCTCTCAACTTGGTCTGTTTTTCAGAAGTGGCGAGCACATTTAATTCTTCCTCCATCTCCTGAACTCGGGTTTGCAAAGAAAGAAGTAGAGAAGTCTGTCTAGCATTGTTTTCCTTGTAGCTTTCAGCTTCAGCCTTCAGCTGTTGAAAAGAGGCTTCTTTAGAGACCGTTTTGGACCTGAGTTCAAGAAGCTATAAACAGAAAAAGAGAAGACATAAAAAGAAAGGAAAACTATGTCCAAACTGAAATATTAGACCACATTAAAAGTTTAAGAATGTGACAAGAAACACATTTTGGAACAGAAGTGTCAGTCTTGTATCACTAAGAGACTGGGTGAAGAGCGACAACTTTCTTTTCAAATAACTAGAAAAGAATAATAGAAAAGGGGGTCAGCAAAAAGCTTCTGTTATATAATATAACACAATTTTAAAACATAATCTCCTATGAGAAGATAAATATATTCACAAATTCAGAATTCAGGAAAAGCCGATGTAAAGGTTTCCTGCGCGACCTTAACTCACAATCCTTACGCATATGCATTGCAATACAGTTATTAACAGCACCACTCCCATTTGTTTGCCTGCCTCCCCACGTCTCCCAATTCTGGTGCCCAATTACACAAATAATCTACAGCTGCTGAGAGTGGTAAAAATAAAGTATCTGGTTTTATGAGGGTGGAGCATTTCCCTTTTGATGATTTGCAGCCTTTTCAGAGGCAATGAAATTTTTGGAGAGTTGCACTCTAGGCAGCTTTTTCTCAGCTTATGCAAATAGTTATTTTTCAGTCTGATAATTCAACCCAGCGTAGCTGGATTTACATAGAAACAGAAAGACTTTCTGGGGAGTGGGGTTAGGAGGAGGGAGATCACTGCCAAATGTCAAGAACTTGTTCCAAAGATGATGCTAGATCTTCCCAACAGCTTACGGAGCTCATTTGTTTTTCTTTGCTTCCCTCTCTCAAAATTTGTCTTTAAAACACCATTTTCCATTGAACTATTTCTGCTACAAACTTCTCCAAAAAGCTGAGCTTGAGGCATATGTGCCAGGCACATAAAATTTCAGTGTTACTATTTTATTTTGTTAAAAGGAAGAAGAAATGTCGGAAGACACTCATGGCTCTGCCAGAGTCTAACCAGTGTGACCAAACTCAAGATATTCTAAGTGAAATTCTAAGAAATTGGTGAGCCATTTGAATGGTTGCTGCCTTGAAAAAGGGAGGTCCTGCTTTTCATGTTCCCCACCATGCACTCCTGCCCTCTCCCTTTTACCAGCTCTGGTACTTGTCTGTCTCCTCAACAAAACAACTCACTCTGTTCACGGAAAAGGTTTCACTATTTATGGAGGAGAGGTAGGTAGAGGAGGGTAGGTTTCTGACAATTTAATGAACTTAGCTAGCTCAGCAACTGCTTATAACACTAACGCACAGCAACCCCTTTTAAGAGGAAAAAAAAACTATCAATCTGACTGAAAACTGTGTTGGAACTTCACCCTGAATCTTTAGATTTTTGTAGCATATCTCCCTCCTTCCCACAAACGCCTTTTTGCCACCAACCATATGTTGTTGCTAACATTACAGAATCACAGAATGCTCAAGGTTGGAAGGGACCTCTGGAGGTCATCTACTCCAACCTCCCTGCTCCAGCAGGGTCCTCTAGAGCACACTGCACAGGATCTCATCCAGGAGGGTTTTGAATATCTCCAGCGAAGGAGACTCCACTACCTCTCTGGGCAACCTGTGCCAGGGCTCAGGCACCCTCGCAGGAAAGAAGTTTTTCCTCATGTTCAGATGGAACTGCCTGTGTTTCAGTTTGTGCCCGTTGCCTCTCATCCTGTCACTGAGCACCACTGAGAAGAGCCCGGCCCCATCCTCTTGACATCCTCCATTCAGATACTTATACACATTGATGAGATCCCCCTTCAGGTTTCTCTTCTCCAGGCTGAACAGGCCCAGCTCTCGCAGCCTTTCTTCATAGGAGAGAGGCCCCAGCACCTCCATCATCTTGGTAGCCCTTCGCTGGACTCTCTCCAGTAGTGCCATGTGTATCTTGTACTGGGGAGCCCAGCTCTAGACCCAGTACTCCAGGTGAGGCCTCACCTGGGCTGAGTAGAGGGGCAGGATCGCCTCCCTTGACCTGCTGGCAACACTCTGTCTAATGCAACCCTGGATCCCATTGGCCTTCTTGGCCACAAGGGCACATTGCTGGCTCATGGTCAACTAATCGTCCACCAGGACTCCCACCGCTTGTCCACCACTAGATACAGGCCTCCAACTAGACTCTGCACCACTAATCACAACCCTCTGAGCTCTGCCATTCAACCAGTTCTCAATCCACCTCACTGTCCACTCATCCAATCTATGCTTCCTGAGCTTGCCCAACAACAGACAGAAATAAAAAACATCCCATTTTGCAGATGGGGAGTTGAACCATGCATCTCCTGTTCATGGAGATGCACAGTGAAAATTAGCCCTTCCACTCAAAAAAGACAGACTATTATTTTCACCTGGATCAGAACGCTGATCTGACTTACCAACTGACAGCAAAAATGCTAACATTGAGAAGTCAGGCAGACAGACCACTCTTTCAACAGCAGCTCAAGCTTACACTGATTATGACCCCTCTGCAAGCACTAGTTCATCAAACACTTGAGAGTTTACATAAACCAGCACTGTTTTTGAAGAAAGCAGCTTTGACCAAGGCTCAAAGGTTTCATCCTCATATTCCACCCTCTTCTTTGTACTAGCAAAAGCACCTATATGGCTATGAAGTAAAATAGACTGGGAAACTGATCCGGCTAAAAAGCAGTCCAGAAGGAAAGGCTTTATTCTTCAGCTGGATCAGTTCCCCAACCCAGTGTGTCGTATGACTACACAGCTATTTGTGCCAACACATGGGATGGGGCAGTGTGGGGAAGGAAATGAGCAGCTAAAGGAACAACACGACTGCTTTGTTTGGCAGCCGGACCAAGTTATGGTAGCTTAAAGTGTTCACAACCTTAAATTTCTCTGTGGTTCAACTCCCCATCTGCAAAATGGGATATTTTTTTGTTCTGTGCATTGTCTTTGTGGTCAGTTTCAATACCAGAAAGAGCAAGAATAATCCCATATCATGAGTCTTCTAGAGCACACAGCATAACTGGGCTTTGACCTTAACTGGGTCATGAAGGTCTTTATTAACAAGAGCATGAGCAGCTGCTTTCTCGACTACTCTTTTGCTTTTGCAAGAAGAGTGCTGAAAGAATCTATAAATCATTCAGTCACGCTGGCAATAAAGCCATTCGAGATTGCCAATAACGTAGAGAACAAATTATTTATATGAGAACATGAAGTTTTGTATGACTTTTTAAAAATGGTAAGTAAAGATAAACTATTGATCCTGTATAGCCATTAAAGACCTTTGACAATCTTTACAGTATTTTCACCGTCTTTACACTATTTTCAGGATCTTTACAATAATTTTAGAATCAACTGGTCAAATTTCAGCTCAGCTGATGTACACCCATCCCTGTAGTTTGAATTGGATAGTATATGAACAATTCATTCCCCTATAATATTACACATTCTTGCTGTTATCCATATTCTGTTATCTACAATAAAAGAAATTTTATTTCATTGGCAGATAAAGCCTTTTTTAATGTTCATGTGCTACACAAGCGTATCTCAAAGCACAGTACAAAGTGCAAGAGAAATGCACATTTGTGACATGTACAAATGTTTAAAGAACTAATCGGATGATGAATGTTCCAAGTTTCTATCATGCTTTATGTATACATGTATGTTATGCATATATATATATATTTATTTATATTTATATTTATATACATACACACACACACACCCCTACCTAAATCTATGGATACAGACAAATGTGTGTAGTACTTCATTTCTCTCAGAGGCAAATATCTACTCCATTTTAAAAACTGACCAGAGCCTGCATTGTAGAATCAGATTAGATAAGTCTTATTCAGCTATATATTTAAACAAATAAAGAGTGAAAATACAGAAACTCTGAAAATGATCATCTAAAGAAATCCAACTGTTCATTATAAATGTTACTTCGCCCAGCTGCCTACCTTACCTCTGTCCTGAGAGCTACTATCCTCACAGCAGAGACGGTAGAAAATGATGTGCATGTGTAGCTACTCTAGTTACAATCAACCTTATTAGCTCAAACACACTTTCACTGATAACAAAAGCAATGTGCATTGGGAACTGTAACTTCATTAAAGAGGAGAGATGAATAAGGCTGGGCAGCTATACATTAAGTCACTAGCAATAACAGGATTACAACGATCAGAACTTTTATACAGTCACAATTCTGAAACATTAACTTTTAGGTTTAATTAGTAAATAGTGTATTTAAACAAAGATGAAAACGACCATGATAAAAAAAAGAAAGACTCTGGTGCCAATATTTCAAATATAAATTCATAATAAGTTCTTGGACATCTAGCAAGCAGAGTAAAATTCACACGGAAATCCTAAAAAAATGTTATGAGAAACAAAAATTCTGCACCAAAAAGCAAGGACTTCTGGACTTCCTACAAACATTCTATCCTCTACAGAAAGCAACCGTAGAGAATCCCCAAGTCTGGAGAAGGATTCGGAGGTATTTTTAAATGTACCTCTGATTGGGCACAATCGTACTTCACCAAAAGTGCTGCAAGTTCACTCTGAGCAGTTTCAGCTGCAGCCCGATAGCGATTCATCTGCTCTCTAGTGACAGGAATATCCAAAGGAAAGCAACCATAAGATTCCTGGGAAGACAACACACACATATACACACAGACCAAAAAAAAAAAAAAAAAGACATTGCATTTTTGAATACTTTTGCCTCAGTGTTTTTTGGGATTTTTAGCTACTAAATGGCAATTATTCCAAATACCTTGTTCCCACAGTAACTGACCCTGTTAAAAAAATAGCGTAAACAGTGACTTTCCTACCAGTGACCACTTTCATCTGCAAGTTCAGTCACCAATGTCTTTAAGGTGACAGAGCAAATTAGCAGAGCCACTTACATGGCTGCTGCGCTACTAAATATATTTTAAAAAAAAAGTATCCTTGGTCAGAGAAAGGCTTTTCTATTCCTTACATAAGCCCACTACCCTTAAAAAGAAGCTGGGTTGCTCGTATATCTATACTCTAGTTTAGCAGCAAGGAGGGAAAAAAAAAAACAATGAGAGAATAGAGGTGAAAGTATGCAATCATTAAGTTATTTGACTCTTCTCTACCCTGCTTCTAGCTGTTGTTCTTCTTGCCTTTTAGCACTTCCCTTTACGCAATGGACTATAGCCAACACGCTGACAAAGCTGTAATGGTGCCGTTTTGAACCCTCAGTGTTTTATTCTTTACAAAGGTATCTTGCAGCGCTTAACCCAGAAACTGTAGTTGTTTTAAATAACACAAGGTTAATTAAACTGATAAAACACAGAAAGCAGGGGAGGGGGGAGTAAATGAAGGCACATCATAGTAATTGTCATATAGAGTTAGAGCATCTCTCTCAGTATTCTCTTTTCAACAGCTGCCATAAGCACATCCCTGAGTAAATACAGCACAAGCATGTAGGATGTTCCCCTTCAACAACTCCATAGCGTCCAATTATTTTCAGCTCAGATTATTCCCTGTAGTTTCTATGTATTTAGTAACCTTCAAAGTGTTCCACTTCTACCAACTTATCCAATCTCTCTTTCAATCCATGTAACCTTTCGCCATCCAAAACGTTGCTTGGTAAGGGAGTCCACAAGTTCAGCTTATGAGAATCACTTTACTTTTTAGACTGTGGCTTCTCCTATTTACATTTCATGACCCCTAGTTCCTATGTTGGACAAAATGGTGAAGAATCAATCCTACCAATCTCCTCCGTGCCACTCACGATTTTTCAGATTTCTATTGTATCTCACTTCAGTTGTCCCTCTGTCAAGTTGAAGGGTCCATGCCTACTTGGTTACTCCTACCTGCTCCTCAAATTCACTTTCTGCTTAGCACAACTGTGCTTTTATTTTTAACCTGCCAAGGTTAAAGGTCCTTTCGAACTTCTTCACTTAGACACAACTTCAGCTTTCTGAATGATGCTTTCTTGTCCCCAGAAGTCACCATTGCCATACTGACCTCCTTTCATTCTTTTTTGGGCTCTTTTAATAGATGGCAAGCACTAGTTCTGTACTTCTAGCCCAGCCTCCTTCATGCCACTTGTAAGGCTAGAAGTCTTTTAGCCGTGCGTTTTAAACTTGTTATAACAAGCTTTCTCCTTTATATGTCATTCTCCTTTTTTATAGTAGAGCACAAGGATGGTGGATTTCTTGGCCTTTGATATTTAAATCTTTCAATATGAAAATTCAAACTTGAGGTGTTGATAGGAACTTCATGAGGTAGAACATTTTTTCTAATCGATACTTACTACAAAACTATGACATTAAAACCTTCAGAACAGAACTGTGTTTAAGTGATATTGGGAGCACATACAACTGAGGAGAGAGCATGAGGAGATTTTTATTCCATCATCTCCCACACAGGACTGAGCCAAAACTGCCATCTTAATGCTTCTAGTATGCATTATGAAATGCAAATCTACCCCAGTTCATAACTGCTATTGAAACTAGGTATTCCAAACGAGAGAGAGACAAGATGTTGTTCGCACTTCATGCTGATCAGCAAAGGCATTAGTCTGAAATATACACTCTGTTCCAAGCAAGACTTGGAAATACATACTCACAGCTGTAATCATTTTTGAAAGCCATTTGCAATTTCTTAATGAGCTACAGTTTCTTTGTATGTAATTAAGTATTAACTACATGTGGGGAAAAAAAAAAGAAAGAACACACATTTTGTATAGGCTTCTCTTACTTAAAAGTTAAAATTCATTCCTTATTGTAGTGTGAATTAGACGAAAAAGTTATTCCTGGATAATTACCTGAAAAGAAAATCTTACTTTGGTATAAAAACTATTTCAGTTCTGAATAGACTATTACCCTCCTGTAACAAGTAAGCTTTTAAATACTATTTCACAAATAAGGATTAAAATATGCATTTTAGTAGAAAAGCAAGAAACTTTTCTGCAGCAGGCTGCCTTAGGAAAATAGCATCACTGAATTCTGACAAGTGATAGAAAAAGCCTGTGAGGGATTTAATCAAGAGAGCAGCCAAATGCACAAAAGGGTAGCTGAGACAGACCAAAACTAGATGGATTTGATATATCAGGTACCTCTGGAACCTGGGTAACTGTTTCATTTCTGGTCAGAGCACAAAGGCATGCAAACACACACACATAAAACTGTATTCTTAATTTGCCTGTCCAAACAAAAAGAAAAAAATCAATGTTCTACAAATTAACAAGCAACTTGGAACAGTTCCTAAAAATACTTAAAAAATTAAACTCTGCATCTGTTCAACAGACAATACAACCCTTACACCAAAACTACTGAGAGTACAAATCATCCTGTCTCACCTTCAGGACATGCCTAGGCTTTAGAAAGATTTTTTAAAAAGAGAAACCCACATCAAGAGGAAGCAGCATACACTGTTAGCTCTGCGTGAAGACACTTCAGACAAAAATTTTGCTTATTCTCATATGCTGTTCAGACTCTGTGAGTGGAACACCAACTGAACCACAAATTGTTTTTTACAAAAAGACTAGTGACTGGCTTGAAGATGACTACCTGAGGTCTCAGAAAGATGAAATAACTGGCAGCTCAGTTGAGACCAGTCATTTTGGTCTTTTTCCTTTCCTTTCCCTATTTTCTTCCTGTAACTCTGAGAAAAGAAAACAAACAAACACCTCCCACAAACCTCTCCAGCAGCCCTGAAAGGATGCAGTTCAGGGAGTGGGCTTCCTGACTGTTATGATTGTTCTAAACTAGATGGTCATTTGTAGCTGTCACATGTGTCTTAATTGACAGAAGACCAGTTCCTGGAACAAATTTCAGAAAACGTGAAAAGCACTGGTTCTGCTGACATAACTCTCTATTGACTGTGTAACAGTTTTTCATGAACGACTGCTACAAAGTGTAAGAACAGGCCAGCTGGTTAATATAATTATAAATAAATATATAAATATAAATACATATGTAACGCCATCTGGCGTTGTTTGAATAATAGAACAGTACATAGCTGATAACTACATATGCTAAAGCTGAAGACAAAAACTGACATTTAGAGCATTAGCTTATTAAAGCATCATAGGAATTCCTAGACAATAGTTTAGGCTGTGAAATCAACACATTTTCAACAAGGCTTTCTGAAGCAGAAATAAAACTTAGCCTCACATTTGCTTCCCTCCAGTACCAAGGCAGCCTTAAGTGGGAGATTATGTACCACCACTAGTAACAGCTATTTCAAATTCAGATGCTCTTAAGAGGTTATGGAGCTTTTCCTAAGAACTCCCTTTCTCTTTTATACCAAGAAGGATGTAGCTCAGACACCTTTCCTTAACTCAGCATTGGCAATGTGCCAGACGTGGAGACAGCCATCAGATGGCTTGCTAGGAACGTTCCCAGATATTTAAGGTTTCATTACATCAGAAACCATGACTTTAGTTAATATAATTATAAATAAATATATAAATATAAATACATATGTAACGCCATCTGGCGTTGTTTGAATAATAGAACAGTACATAGCTGATAACTACATATGCTAAAGCTGAAGACAAAAACTGACATTTAGAGCATTAGCTTATTAAAGCATCATAGGAATTCCTAGACAATAGTTTAGGCTGTGAAATCAACACATTTTCAACAAGGCTTTCTGAAGCAGAAATAAAACTTAGCCTCACATTTGCTTCCCTCCAGTACCAAGGCAGCCTTAAGTGGGAGATTATGTACCACCACTAGTAACAGCTATTTCAAATTCAGATGCTCTTAAGAGGTTATGGAGCTTTTCCTAAGAACTCCCTTTCTCTTTTATACCAAGAAGGATGTAGCTCAGACACCTTTCCTTAACTCAGCATTGGCAATGTGCCAGACGTGGAGACAGCCATCAGATGGCTTGCTAGGAACGTTCCCAGATATTTAAGGTTTCATTACATCAGAAACCATGACTTTAAAGGAGCATCCAGAGTTTATAGGAAGTTAATGGGGACTCCTGCACATGGTATCATAAAGTTAAAATGTGACATGTTGCCCTTCTGCTTTCATCTACATCAGCTTCAGTTTAGAGGTTGAGATAAATTAGAAACTCAGCTCCTACCTATTCAAAATAGGTTAAAATATATATATAAACAGATTAACATCCAGTAAAATAACCCCCTTCTATAAACACAAACATAAAGGCCTGGGAAATAAAGTAAAAACTACTGGTTTGGACTGTAATAGAAGACAAATTACCTTAGATTAGTTCACATAATACTGTCAACTCTTTTTTTAAAAATCTTTCTTCAACTCTCTAGTATACACTGGGTTAGATCCATCCAGTTTGATCACATTTGTCTCCCTCAGAGATACTCAGCCGTGCTCTTTCACATAGGAGTTACAACTCAAGCCAGACCGATACATACAGTACAGCTCACGGTCACATACAATATAGTACCCTTTTAGATAAAAGGGCTAATTTTCTCTACACCTTATCATCATTCTGAGGGAGTAAGGCAAGGAATGTGCTGTCTCTTTGCTACTTTGTCTGTCTTTTTGCTCTACTCCACTTATTGTTTAACATGGTACATCCACACGAAATTCTTTGATGTAGGGATTTTTGTTTCATTCTGTAATACAACAGGGCTCCAAAACCATGGCTGGAGCTTGGAAACAGTAACACAAAATAAAAACTGTTATATTACTATATTGTTGTATGTTTTCTTTTTCTTTCCCTTAACAAACACAACCACTTCTGATTCTACAGAAAGAAGAATAAATCTCAAAACTGATGAAAGAAAAACCTACAGACTCTTTGCCAAAGAAAGGAGGTCTCTGTTCCTCAGCAACAGTCAATATGAGGAAACCTTTTATAGCTGGAACTTCTGAAACCTACATTTGTCATACAAGACTAGATTTGAAAAGGATGAACTTATAAAGATAGAGCTAAACATACAGCAGGATTTTAAAAAGTTTAAATGAAGCCAGGTGCAAAAGTTGATGAGAATCACCATTTCACTCACTCACGGTTTTAGTGAGATTTACGAGAGCAGTTCTCTGCATCCTCAAGTGCCTTCGTAAATATGAAGCTAATTATACGTTGCAACACCACACTAAAAAAGTTGGCATGATTATAATATTTTTGAATATGCATATTTTCATATTTAAGAAAACAGTATTTTATCTTTTGCCCGCAGCTATCTGATAATTAGACATACTTGTAACAAAGCGTTTCATCGGGCATGATTCTACTGCACAGATAAAACTTATTATGCAGATGTGGCATTTCTAACCCTCTCTGGAAAAATTCGGAACTGTACTATCTCACCAGTACTATTCAGTTTATACAGATTACTCTTAAGACAATAAAATAAAAAAAATGTTAGAAGAATTAGAGGCAATGGACAGGAGCAGAACACATATATTATTATTCAACCAGCTCTCATATATCGTCACTCAACCAGTCTGGGCTTGGGGCAGGGGGTCTCCCATTTGCTTTATGAACCTTTGTTGATCACTTTCCTTTTGACTGCAAGAAAACAAAGTTTGTCATCTCAATTCAAATTTTAAACAGAAGTTAAACATACATTTACAATTTTTATGAGTAATATCTACTTGGCCTTTTGGCTTTATGAGTAATTTAAATGCAAGAGTTGTAAAACTCAGCTTAGAGACATTCTTTAGATGTACTCATCAACTACATAAGGTTGTTGTTGCTGTGTGGGGATTTTTGCTTTGGGTTTTCTTTTTGTTGTTGTTGCTGTTGTTTTTCTTTAATCAAATAGCAACTTTCACCTTCCTGGTACCCAACTGATAATTGGGAAACTTCACCTAACTCCAAATTAGCAGAACCTCGGTAATATTCAGTAGTTTTATACCCCCTTCCATACTTCCAAAACCTTCAATCATTCAGGTTACTCACTCCCATTCTGCTTTTATCAGCTTTTCTCTTACTAATAAAGTCCTTTCCTGAGGCTCTTCTCTCTAATTTCAACCCTGGCAAACGCTGCTGCAAATGCACTGCCCTCCGCCACCCAAAATATATATAAAAATTTGTACTGAAACAGAAAGACCTCAGTAAAGTAAGTATTGAGCATCACCCAGAGTGATTTGCCAATGCATTTTTCCCTTGCCTCTTGCCCATTGCAGACACACACTAGCCAGGGCAGGAACTACTTCTTCCAGTTTCCAAAGCACCAAGGCACATTAGGGTTGCCATGTCAAAAATAAACAAGGAGTCACAAACCTTTGTTGACTCTGTTTTTCCCTTGAGTCTACAGAACAAACAGAACAAACAGAACAAAAAGACAGAGAAAGAGATTGAATTAAAGAGATTAGAATTAAACTGATTCTGTGATATGAGGATACAGGGTATTCAGAGATTTTTCATAGATCTGCTCTATTAAACTATTTCGTAAGTTACTCTCAAATAAATAGGGTAAAACAACAGAAAACTGCAGGAAAGTTTCTCTAGAAGAACAAAAGCTTTGACGGCCTCCGCAATATTCAAATTCTCATCTCCTAGCTAAAATAGGCATTTTTACTTTGACTTCTTTGAGTTATAATCACTGCTTCAGCTGCATACATAGGCCTCCTGCAGTTAGCACTTCCTTTTGGCACTGCTTTGACATGTGTTGCTATTGTTCATTTCATCTCTGCTTCTTTTTATCCTATATCTACGCTACAGTAACAAATTAAGAAAAACTAAATCTGGGCAACAAGCTTGTAATTCATCTTAATTGGTTGAACTGCACCTCTTTTTTCTCCTCAGATTTTAAGTTAATTAGTGGACCATTTTAATCTGTAAATTTGTATTGGACTTGGCACGCAATTGGACTCACTGGGTTATCCAATAATTACACATATGAAAACAAAGGACAAAGCTGAAAACAGACAAACCCCAGTGTCATAACAGTTAGTATTCTGAAAGTGAAAAAAAGAGAGATCTTGAGCGTGCAATACTTCCTTCTAATATGAACTAAATTAGTATTCATGGATGCATATGTACATTAAAATGGTTTTCATTTCTGAAAATAAGGCATTTTCTTAATACAGCAGGACAGCTGACTATTATTTGTTGCCAACAGAAGGAAGATGACATCTAGTACGAAGTACTAGGAGACTGCACTGTTGAGGCATTTCCACACAGAATTATCTCTGTAAAAAATCACAAGGAATTTTTCAGTCCCCAAATCTGCAATTGCATCTATGGGAGGCCAAGGTGTCCTTCAAATCAGTGGGGATCCACAGAAAATCATTTTGCATGGGCAGAAGTGCTGGAAAGGGGAGCTTAAACATTGTGTTCTGATTGTAACTATTGCAACTGCAATCAAAAATATAATATTGTAAGTGTATTGTTATCCAGAATCCAATTAGTTTAGTTATTAAAGAATTGAAATATGTTCCAACAAGGCCATTTTCAAAAATGTTTTGTATAAATTGATTTAAAAAAAAAAAGACAAGAGAATACTATTTCAGCATTCAGACAACATTTCATTTTTATTTTATTTTGGAAAATAATCTATTTTAGAATAAAGAAAAACAAGTTTGGGAATACAATTTTTCCTAAAATCTGCAGTAGAAAAAGCAAATCTCTCATAAACAACTACAAGTTTCATGAAAATCAGGGGCTGGACACTGTGTAGAAATTCACTAGTGAGTCAGATGAAGGGAAGGCATGCAGAACTTAGCTATTATACATTTTGCCAGGCAAACCATGCACCAGGCAGCATGCACATCACTTCAGAATAGTCACTGCAGCTAAAAACACCAATGAGTGTCAGAAGGGTGAGCCATCAATAAAACAGATTTTGTTAACCCAAATGAAAACAGACAAAATCAAATCACACTCACTTAGGAAAAAAAACTGTTTACAAACAAACCAGCTTCTATGTATATTTTAGATAAGGTTTAAATGCTGTATAAATAATACTTGGCAAAATTTGCCTCCTCCTAGAGATCTCAAAATATTTTTATTAACAATACTTTATTAATAGCAATTTTTAAATGTGCAGGTAACATTTCAAAAACATTTCAGATTTGTCAGTTATTCTTTCACATTATCTCAACTGCCAGAAATGCCTGGTTACTTTTGATCACTTTTCACTCTTCTGTTTTCTTCCTGCTAACTAGGTCAAACTCTTTGCAGTTTTTGTGTGTGTAATTCTGAAAACAGTTTTCTTTTTGTTATACACCTGTTTTGGGTTTTTTTTTTTTTTAAATAAAGTGCACCTTTCTAGAAGTATATAAAACTAAGTAAAGTGTCTCCAATAGCTCAAATACAGTATTAAAGAGATTTTCTAAATGCTTTTCAGGAGGATACTGCTCAGCCCTACCTTCCTCCCATTACAATAGCCATTAAAAGGTATTACTGAAAGATAAAAATCATTGCCTATTGTTGTTTATTTACTGAAGACGCCATTTTCAAACTTGATGAATGGGCACAAATAGAATTTTCATGACCATCAAAATTTCAGTCTTACCTTCTACTATTACAAGCAGTAGTTAACATGTTTCCATCTTTCATTTTCCTTTCTGTTAAGATATGCTGACCTTCCATCTAAATATAATAATAAGTTTAATATGATAAAAGACAGTAGCCATCTCAAGACAAATACAAGGCAGTGGTATATCACCTTCTGTAAATACTGCTTAATATGTTTTTTGCTTTACTTCATCCTTTACCTGCATGGTTAAATTAAGGAACTTGGATCTCCCCTGGTGCCTTGCCTCACCACTTTTCCAAAATGAATGGTGAGGAAGAACCGATACCTGTAGTCGCAAAATAAAAACGATAATTGTTGGAAACTTTACTAAGACAAACTCTAGAAGGAGTAAAACGTAACAAAATCAAGTGCTTAGGTGGGGATTAAGTGGAATTTCTTTTGCCCAGTGCTTGTTGCTTTACTGGTTTTACTTGATCAGTCCTGAAGTTAGATTACTTTTATAAGAAAAAAGTTTAGATGAGATTTAAAAGTAAACCATCACACAAAGCCAACACACCTGCAGTTCTCCTACAACACCGGTTACATTTTACTGCAGTTAATAAACGGCAAATGCTTTAGATGTAGTTAAATGCATAGGCATATACACACTTCAGAGTGATTAGTGCTGTAGATTAACTATAAATTGAGGCATACAAACTGCAAACCACACTTTCTGAGCGTTGACAGTACGGTATTCTAGCGCTTCCCAGCTACTGACTTTCAGGGCGGCAGGATTTGGGATGGGGTCACTACCAATTCTGTGCCTAAACGATGCTAATGAAAACCTTCCAGTCAGGCACTGTATTTAAACATTGTATTCAATATAACAGCAGCCAATCTTGCAAAGCTCTCAGAAAGATACAGCGTGATTAAAAAAAACACATTTCACTACTGAGGAGAGAGCCAGCTGTCCACGCACCAACGAGATGTTCTTGCCTTGGAGCGGACCGAGTTTGATCCTCTTAGCGATATCCTTGGGCATCTCCTTTAAAAACACATCAAAGC